GAGAGAGAGAGAGAAGAGACTTTTCAATTGCATTCCCAACGACATCGAGTTTTGGCCTCAGGAAGGCAACTCTAAGTATTCTCCGTTGACTTGCCACTTCCTCCGACTGAGTACTTTGATCATGCCGGAGGTGGGCAGCAAAAATATAAGTATTTGTGATTTCCTCTCGTTGTGAAAAGCGTTCCTGAATTTATCCCATTCCCATCTTGTAATATGTTCGCCAAACCTCTCAAGATATAGAGCCAAGTACAACTTTCTGGTCACTTCTCATTTGAACCGTCCCAAGCATGGACCAAGTTAGGTCTTGGGTCCTTGCAGCAGGGAGTCCTGGGTCCTTGCAATGCGTGAATACCAGAGTGACGCAGCAGGTTCTGCCCAATCACATATTGGTCGCAGTCCAGGCTGCGTCCATTAATCCGGTAGACAGCCAGCTACTGAACTGGCGCCTCAATGCGCCCTCGGGCGTCGATACACCCTGGGTCGTGGGCAGGGACTTTGCCGGTGTTGTCCTCAAAGCAGCACCTGGCACGGAGTTCATGCCGGGCGACCATGTTATGGGCGTGACTAGAGCCATGGATGGTTCAGGGACACTGACAGACAGAGTGCATATCAACCTGGGCAGCAGCGCGGTCGTCACGAAGCCACCAAATATGCCGTGGGCCGAGGCTGCCAGTGTGCCTTCGGCCTGGCTGACGGCCTTTACGGCCATTGAGAAGTGCGCTTCAACTGTCGACACTTCCAGGAAGCACAAAATTGCTATCCTCGGCGGTAGCTCACCCACGGGTATCTACGCGATACAGATCGCCCACAGGCGCGGTTGGTGGGTCATGGCCACTTGCTACGGGCAACAATACGTAGACCTTTTAAAGAAGCAGGTTAGTAACCGTTACTAATTCTTCCCTTGTTGACATGGCTTCGATTGTATAAATCAGACATAGCTTTGTGTGCTTGTGCGTGTCAGTCTACTCCTTATTTGGCTCCTTTACGACCCGAAAAAAAGCAGTGACTAACACCTTTTTGTTGAGTAGGGCGCGCATCGTGTCACCGATTGCAGCAGCTCTCCAGACGCCGGCAACGACGCCGTGGCTCATTTCGAGCCCGACGCGATTCTCGACTGCGTCTGTCAGAAGCAGTGCGAGAACATGGCGAGAACGCATGTCGAGGTCAGTGGCTTCGCGTCGGAGTCGTCATTATTGGGCGGAGGAAGCGTCGCTCAGGACTACCCGAGCATGTATTTTGAATTAAATAATGCGTGGCTAGAGGAGGCCAGGCGTCTGTGCGGCAGGTGTATTCACGTCGATTCGGTCTTTACATTCGACAAGGTGAAGGAGGCATTCAACAAGATGCATACGAATCAGTGCAGAGGGCGTGTTGTGATCAAAATTGAGGGCGATAGCCGAGCAATGCAAGACACGCTGCAGCTGACAGCTGCTGGTCGGGAGATTTCTTAGACGAGACAAGATCCCTATCAAACCTGAAGGACTTGATCTCTGTTACTTGCTATTTTCTCTGTTACTTTCTGTTTTTATTAGCATTTGTAGTAGCCCTTGATGTGATGTTCTTGTACCATGGTTGTGTCAGCGACATGATGTCGGGTGAAGAAAACAAACCGACCAGCTTCTACATATTCAAATTTCAGATATGTTGTCCAGATAGCCTTTGATATTCGCGAGTCTACATGGAACACCCCAGGAGACAAAGGCAGTACTGGATCAAGGAACCGTTGCAAAACATGTCGACATGGATTACACAGGAAGAGACAGACAGGTTGCATGACCTGCTAGGTATGTATCGAAATAAAGTTTCGGATCCTCCCATGATTCCCCCGATACAGAAGCAACAGTCTAAAAGGACAAGAAAAAGAATAAAGAGGTGAAGGTTGAGCGCCTTTTACAAATCGAATTCGAGACCAGGTCTACTTTTGTAGACGTATTTATGAACTCCCCACAACGAAAATGCAGATATAACTCGAGTGGTGGATACCATACTCTATTAATTATGACCTGCTTTAAGCATAACTTTTCCACAAGTGGTTAAGTCAACCATGACAACTACTGTCCACGGCGGGGTGGCCTAATGGTAAGGCGCTACTTTCCGGTGGTAGAGATTCAGGGTTCGAGTCCCTGCCTCGTCGACTTTTTGCTATGACAGCGTCTAATTTTTTGCTAATTCATAGGAGAGATTGAATTTTCTTGTATCGTATGTATCTTTGACGATCCTCGCAGAGAATGTCGTTCCTTGGTGGTCACCCGTTCAAGGGGATAAAGTTCTCTAGGTTAGTATGTCTGGAGGTCCCACCCTTTTAGTGCTGCAAAGGACTAGCTGGTACTCTGTAGGTACTATAGAGAGTAATATCAACTTCTAGCCCTGGGATCGTGCTCGACTCTGATAATTCTGTTGCTTCGCCAAAGTGACCATGTACCTTTCAATCAATGAAAACTTTACCCGAAGCGATCGGTTTCTGCACATGTTATTAGGCTGAACAGCAAGTACAAAGTAGATCATGGTCTGCATTTGTGCCCAGCGGCGGGTCAAGCAAGCATAGACGCCCGTGTTCAGCAATGCGATTCGTGCGAAATTTGGCAGCGAAATGGTAGACATGCCCGAAACCAAGTGACATTTTTTACATGATTAGCACTCTGGAGTTTGGGCAGGGACATGGTCACACTACATCGACTCAAGGATTCGACTGATATCTACAACTCGAGGCTCTCCGCACTGCACTTGCATTGGTGACACACGTCAAATTGTCTTGCATCATATCCATCTATATATAGTAGTGTACTTGCTAGTCATTGGTATATCACAGGACACCATACCACCAATTTGTTGGCAGAATCCAAGAAGTTTTGCAAAATGTTCACAACTCCCGAAAAAACAAGTCTGGTCTACCTATACGATTCCGAAATTCTCAGAATCGAAGCATGGGGTCCCAACGCATTACGCATTAGAGCCACTCACGAAGCGTCCTTGCCCACAGAGGATTGGGCGTTGACGGAGCCGCTGCCAGAACAGAATAATGTCTCTATCCAGATCAACGATGATCAAGCCTCCATAAGGAATGGCAAAATTTCTGCAACGGTATCTCAGTACGGTGTATTGGCTATTGCAGACGACACCGGCAAGGTTCTGTTGGAAGAGTATAGCCGTACGCATGTCGACAGAAAAGATCCCAAGTGCAGCTCACTCAACATCTCAGCCCGCGAATTCCAGCCGAGGCTTGGCTCGGACTCGTGGCATTTGAGAGCCAGATTCGAGGCCGATGCCGATGAGCAGATCTTTGGCATGGGCCAGTACCAGCAGCCATGTCTGGATCTCAAGGGCGTGGACCTGGAGCTGGCTCAGAGAAACTCGCAGGCCTCGATCCCGTTTGCCGTCTCCTCGCGCGGCTACGGCTTCTTGTGGAACAATCCTGCCGTCGGCCGAGCAGTGTTTGGCAAAAACGTTACAACTTTTGAGGCGCTCTCGACACGCGTCTTAGACTACTGGGTCGTGGCTGGGGATACGCCGGCAGAGATTGTTCGAGCATACGGCAAAGCAGTCGGTACCGTTCCTGAGATGCCCGAGTATGGCCTGGGCTTCTGGCAATGCAAATTGAGATACCAAACCCAGGAAGAGCTGCTCGAAGTGGCTCGAGAACACAAGCGCCGAGGTCTGCCCATGGACGTGCTCGTGGTCGACTTCTTTCATTGGCCCAAGGAGGGAGAGTGGAAGTTTGACCCTACATTCTGGCCCGATCCCGGTATGTTGCTCCCACCCGCTGCCGGTTTTTTCAATGTGCTCATGATTCCCTACAAGACTCAATGATTAGTGAGCTCAAGTCCCTTGGCATCGAGCTCATGGTATCAGTATGGCCAACAGTCGATAGAAGATCTGAAAACTATGACGAGATGCTTGCCAAGGGCTTGCTTGTCCGTCAAGACCGTGGCTGGCGCATTTCCATGGACTTTGGCACGGGCAACTGCATCCATTTCGACCCAACGAACCCGGCTGCCAGAAAGTACGTGTGGAACAAGGCCAAGGCCAATTACTACGACAAGGGTGTCCGCATCTTTTGGCTGGACGAGGCCGAGCCCGAGTACACAGTCTACGACTTTGATATTTACAGATACCATGCCGGACCCAACCTGATGATTGGCAACTCTTACCCCGTCCGGTACTCGCAGGGCTTCTACGAAGGGATGAAGGAAGCTGGCCAAGACAAGATTCTCAATCTTGTTCGATGCGCCTGGGCCGGCAGCCAGAAGTACGGAGCATTGCTGTGGTCTGGCGACGTGGCGAGTTCGTGGTCCAGTTTCCGCAGTCAGCTGGCCGCCGGCCTGAACGCAGGACTGGCTGGCATCTCGTGGTGGACGACAGACATTGGCGGCTTCCACGGTGGCGATCCCAAAGACCCGGCCTTCCGCGAGCTCCTTGTGCGCTGGTTCCAATGGGGGGCTTTCTGTCCAGTCTTCCGTCTCCATGGCGATCGAGAGCCCAAGCAGCCCAGACACGGCGATACTGGCGGCAGCTGGTGTCTTTCCGGGGCTCCCAACGAGGTTTGGTCCTATGGTGACGAGGTATACGAAATCTGCAAGACGTATCTAGCTCTACGCGAGACCCTTCGCAGCTATGTTCGGGAAGTCATGCACGAGGCGCATGTGCATGGTGATCCTGTGATCCGCCCCGTGTTTTACGAGTTCCCGCGCGACCCCCAGGCTTGGAAGAGCACTGAGGAGTACATGTTTGGATCAAAGTACCTTGTCGCTCCCATTCTCAAGCCTGGACAGCGACAGAGGGAGATACGATTGCCCAATGGCGCAGACTGGAGGAGGCTTTCGAAGCAGGGGAAGCTAGAGGGTGAAGTTCTGAGGGGTGGGGATGTCGTGACTGTAGACGCCCCACTGGACTATATGCCTGTTTTCGAGAGAGCTTGAGATCCGAGCTCTTCCATATTGTGAGCCCATGTCTGTGCTGTAATCCAAGCTCTAGCCACATGCTTCTTTATGGATATCATCTACAGTGCCATCTCCACGCTGCCATGGTGAACTATGCTTAAAGTTGTCCATCTCGGTCTACGATTCACCGAGTGCCCACATTGAACGTCTCCCCGCTCAGAGTCTCCCCCCCGCTATAAGTAGAAGTTTGAACCAGCTGATCCATTCCAGACGGTCTAGTGCTTCTCGAGCAACCGAAGTTGAGCCAGTTCCGCGACACTTGCAGAATGTTGTCAGACCATGGGATAGATCAAGCAGGGAATAAGCAAATCTCCAGGCCTGGGCATCATGTGCAGTCCTTCTGCCAATGCATCTTGTTAACCAGCCGAAGTCTTTCCGGCTCTCCAACATGATTGACTGACTCCATACCTACTATTTGGGGGGCCCCGCGTCCAGAACCATCGGCCCCTTCCCACTAGTCGGGCAATGATCCCGCCGACAGACGAGTTCAGCAAGGCAATATTGCTCTTGTCTCTTGTTACAGCAAATTGACTTCTTATTACCCCCCAAGTCGATCCATCTACAAAGAGGAGCGAGCTTGAGGCACGGTATTGATCGGTAGCAATATTTTGTCAAACTTCCCCAAGGAACTCCAAGATGGCGAACGCACCATCGTTGACGGACATCCGGTTCGAACATCATCCAACTGGTCTCGGCGTCAACGAAACTCGTCCACGTATCTCATGGCGGTATGAATCAAAGTCTGCGTCGCTTGTAAAGAACTGGCTCCAGACGTCTTACGAGGTTGAAGTCAAGCGCAAAAACTCTTCCGAGACCAAGCCATTCAAGTCAGATAGTGATAGTAACATCTTGGTACCATGGCCAGATTCACCATTGACTTCTCGGGATGCCGCAAGTGTACGAGTCAGAGCATTTGGTGTGAGCAGCACTGAAGCGGCTTCCACCGAGGGACAAGCAACGCCGACGGAATGGTCCGACTGGGCTTCTGTCGAGACCGGCCTGCTGGAACGAAAAGACTGGTCGGCCCATTTCATCACAAGCTCGAAGCGAACCGCTTTGCCCGTGGGTGGCAAGCGTGTAGAGTACTTTCGACCCATCAGATTGCGCAAGACTTTCAGACTGGACTCGAAACCCGCCCGGTCGAGGCTCTATATTACCGCGCTGGGTGTGTACGTAGTCTATATCAATGGCACCAGAATTGGTGAGGAGCACATGGCTCCAGGCTGGACGTCATATCGTCACAGACTACAGTACCAAGTATATGATGTAGGCGACCTTCTCCAGGCTGGGCAAGACAACACCCTTGCCATTGAGGTCGGCGAAGGTTGGTATGCTGGCCGCATTGTCTGGGGTGAGGGGGTTACATGCTTCTATGGAGAAGAGATTGGAGCACTCGCTCAATTGGAAGTTGGTCCAGAGAAGGGCTCAGGGCAAATTCTGGTACAAACGGACGACAAATGGGAGTGGAAGGAATCTCCGATCCTGTCGAGCGGAATCTATGACGGAGAAGAATACGACATGCGCCAAGATTACCAAGATTGGACAAAGATTTCATCCCAAGAGCAAAAGTCTTCAGACTGGCAAGCAGTCAAGAAACTCCAATTCCCGGAAACGACGCTCCTGGCATCACCGTGTCCCCCGGTAAAGGTCAACCAATTAGTCAAGCCGGTCAGCATCTCAGAGTCCCCTACTGGCAAGATCCTCATCGACTTTGGCCAAAACTTGGTGGGCAAGATTCGAATCCACTCCCTGAGCCGACCTTCGGGGCATTTACTTACAATCAAACACGCCGAGGTTCTAGAGAACGGTGAGCTTGGAGTTCGTCCCCTACGATGCGCAAAAGCCACAGATCGTATCACCTTTTCAGACAATATCCTGAAAGACTATTCTCCTCAATTCACCTTTCATGGCTTTCGGTATGTGGAGATGAGCGGGTGGTCACCGTCTGACGCTACGGAGCCATTGACATTGGAATCGATCTCGGCTGCCGTCATGCATAATTCCATGCTTCGTACTGGGCACTTTGAGTGTTCCAGCGCGCCGCTGAACCAACTTCACTCCAATGTGACTTGGTCGTTGCGCTCAAACTTCCTCTCCATCCCCTCCGACTGTCCTCAGCGTGACGAGCGGCTGGGATGGACGGGCGATATCCAAGTATTTGGCCCCACGGCCAGTTTCCTCTACGACGGCGCAGGCTTCCTCGGCAACTGGCTTCGTGATCTCATTGCAGACCAAAAACAGGCCGGCGGCGTTGTGCCGTTTGTCATTCCAGACGTCATGCCAAACGGCCCGTGGCCTCACGAGTCGCACGCCATCTGGGACGACGTCGTGATTTTGCTGCCGTGGGCACTATACCAATGGACCGGCGATGACTTGCCCCTCCGAGAGTGCTACGACGGTATGCTAGACCATCTGAAGGTTCTTCCTCGCGACCACGACGGGCTCTGGGATACGGAGGTGTGGAAGCTCGGGGACTGGCTCGACCCTTCGGCACCCCCAGACAACCCGGCATTGGCCACGACAGATAGTACCTTGGTATCCGATGCGTATCTGGTTCATATCACCAGAACTATGGCGCGAATCGCCGATGTCCTCGACAATAGCAAAGACAAGGCCCGTTTTGAGGCAGAGGCGGAAAAGCTTGCCCAGGCGTTTCGATACAAGTACATTGCCGGCTCCGGCCTCGTTGTCGGAGATACACAGACGGCCTTGGCCCTGACCCTCGTCTTTAACCTGCACGAGCAAGGAGACCAGGCCGGGCGGGCGCTCGCGGCGGCACGACTGGCCAAATGGGTCAAGGCCGCCCAGTTTAAAGTCAGCACAGGCTTTGCGGGCACCAATGCCATCCTGCCGGCGCTGTCGCTGGATCTCCCGGGGGGCACGAAGGAAGAATCGAACCTGCAGTACGCGTACAAGATGATCCTGACCGACGAGTGTCCCTCGTGGCTGTACCCCGTCAAGATGGGCGCCACGACCACGTGGGAGCGATGGGATAGTATGCTACCCTCGGGCGAGATCAACCCGGGCGAGATGACGAGCTTCAACCACTATGCCCTGGGCAGTGTCGCGGCCTGGATGCATGAGACGATAGGTGGACTCGCTCTGGCCGAAGACCAGAAGGGTAGAGTTGGTTGGAAGTCGTTCCGCGTCCAGCCACGCCCAGGCGGCGATGTGACAAGCGCCAAGACGGAGTACTTGAGCGGATATGGGTGGGTTCGATGCGAATGGCAGGTGGTCGAACTTGGGGGAACCAAGGGAAAGAAGTTTGTCATGGATCTCACTGTTCCAGCCAACTCGACAGCTGTCGTAGTGCTGCCTGACGCTGACAAGAAGGGCCAGCACGACGGCTTGACCGTAGGCTCTGGTGGCCATCACTTTGAGTGTCGCTTCGAGGATCCCGGTGAGTGGCCACCCAAGTCAAATCTCCCCTTTTAGAGTGAGTGATATTATGTTTCGCCAAAAATATAATAATATTACACACTGTGAAGCCTGGACGAGAACTTGTTCCGTGATTGTAGTAATATAAGACGCTTCCTTTCACGTGTCTATTGTATACCGACAAATGACAAATTGCAAAAGCTCTTCGTACAACGAAAGTGCAGCGGCTCCCAGATAGTACATGGGAGATAGTTACATGCTACACAGGGCCGTGTTGATATTCCTGTCTACTTTATTCCTATCACATGAAAACACGATCCGTCTTGACACATTTGAAATATGGATATAGCCTCAAATATGAACGTTCTCATTGTGCTATGAAATTGATCCATGACTCCACGCAGTTACAACATAAACAAGACACGCAAGACACGCGTTTTCTGCCGGAAGGAATTGATTTCCTACCCAAGCAGATAGGTGTCGCTGGTCTGCGTCTTGTTCTTCAGCTAAGCTTGGTCGCTAAAATAGACGACCAGACCATTGAATTCATTAAAATCAACGCTATCATTGGCTCCTGCATTATCCCAAGGAAACCACTTTTTGTTTTACCAGCTAGGCGGTTGGGTCACGGCATCAGCCAAGCATATGTTTTGTCTAGTCCACCACGGACCAAGTCTAAGACTGCCACGCACGATAAGGAAAGAGAGATAGAGAGAAAGATCATCACGTGAAAAGAGACGAATAACAGTAATATGAAATAATATTTGGCCAGGGATGACTATTTTCAGGTCATGCCGTCCATAAGCGTATTAGAAAATGGCGAATGAGAGGACAATGGACTCATTGCAACGTAAGTAACTCCACATCGGGGATACTCCGTTGCCTTTTGTGACCAAAGTATTGCCCAGACGACGATTTTCGCTTTTGCGAAGCGCCCGCCAGGGGACTGCTGGCGGCATCCGACATGTTGCGCTTGTGCTTGCGCATTGGCGAGATAGGAATGTTGGTGCTGGGAATTCGACCATCCTTGATACCGCGAAGCGTACCGTGGTGGAGGGGTCCCGAAAATGCCAAGGATTCGCGCGTTGCCTTGCCACTCCGCAGCAGCTGATGTGTTTGCTGATCACGGCGAAAGGCGCCGGCAAGATGTGAATTGTTGAGTAAATGACTATGGTCCAGAAGCGGGTTCACATCGTCTCCTGGTGTTTCGTGGCGGTGGGGAGTCGTCCAGTATTGATCTTCATCATCAAACCCGGTGCCTTGGTCGGCATCAAAGTCTTCAATATCCAAGAAGTCATCGAGCTTGAGACGCTGCTCATCATGATCCTCCTCGAATTCATCGTACTCTTCCTCCTCGGAGATATCCTCAAGTGCGCTAACTGGAGGCATGAAAGCCTCCGCAGGGCCAACAGCCTGTGTACCGTTCATGAAATCACCAAAGGTATTCGATGAGACCATCGCTCCCATCATGAGGTTCCCGGAGTTACTTAATATCGAGGATGACTGGCTGAAGTCATGTTCGGCAAACAGAAAGTCTGGAGCGAAATTGAAATTGAAGGCTTCGGGGGACAGATCCAGGCGACTGAGCCGTTGAGGGGTGAAGATCATCAACTTGCCAGTCCGAGGGTTCACGACAGCAATGGGTTTCTTCCCGTCACTATCAAGGTTGAATCTGCCCACGCGAGGTCTACCACGGTGGCGTCGCATCAAAGAGAGCACATCCGTGTCTGATGACTGGCTAGGCGTCTCACGACGTGTTCGCTGCGGCAAGGGTTGTTTGGCTGGTTCCTCATCCTCGTCTGTGGTGTCACCGCCATCCTCTCCATCGGCTTCCGAGACGATATTAGCAGCGTTATGAATGGTATCGACGCATGTGACTTACATTGGTACCCGTCAGACATGTCATCGTCGTCCTCCTTTTGGGGAGAGGCAACGGGAGTCGACATGGCGGTGGATGGGTCATGATTGGTCATGGGAGTAGCGACAGGGGTACTATCCGACTCAAAAGAGGTATATGGTACATTCTCCAAGTTACCCATATACATGTCATCCCCCAAACTGCCGTGTAGGTCCCAGAAAGAACCAGAATCGGAAGAGTTGTCATAGTCATTCTCAATCTCACGACGAAACGTTGGGTCGAGAGAACTCTGGTCGACAAAAATGTCGGGAAATATGCTGTCAATGCCATCGTCGGTCTCTGTTGTATCGCCGTCAGAATCGGGAACGCCTGCAAAGCGAACCCTTCTCTCGGTAACCTCCTGAGTTGTGATAGATGCGTCGGTGGCGTCGTGGCCTTCTGACATGAAGCCCTCCCATTCAGTCTGATCAGCAGCTTCGTCATCCTCGTCGTCCTCGTCTTCTTCTTCTTCATCATCATCAGAGTCGTCATCTTCATCCTCATCATCTCCTTCCTCTGCTGCCTCTTCCGTCGACGGCCAAGGAGAGCCATGATTGCTAGGGATGGCCTGTTCATCATCGTCGAGAATATGACTCTCCTCGGCCGCGATCACATCTTCCTCATCCTCATCAGAGTCACTGATGCCACCGACAGCCGAGTAACCATCGCTATCAGACAAGTCGGACAAACTGTCGAGCGACGACGAAGAGTCGGAGGCCCGACGCTTTGACGGCTTGACAGGGGTGACGGGCGGTTTTTGGCGTGCGTTCTTTGACATTGTGTCGTTCCAGCCAGAAGAGGTATACGAGTGGGTTATGCAGGGGGTGGGCAGGGGTATGTTCTCGAGGTCGGTCGAGTTCTAGACAAACGGGTGTTGAGGCCTGAAATGCTCTCGAAAGGAAGCTACTACCCTTGAAGGATGTGTGTATAAAACTGAAAGGAAACGATTGCAAATGATTGCTGCAGTGTGGTCGAGTACGATGTGAGCCGTATAGTAGTGTGGTATATCAATGGTTCACGAAGGGGGAGCTGAGTGGCGTGTGGATGGGTGATATGGGGAGAGAGAGAGGATCCAGAAGCGGGACTAGGGACTATGGTTTGCAGGAGCAACTGGAGCCGTGGAAATCTTTGAAAAGTGGTGCGAGCCCGGGTCAGTGGGCCAGATGCGCAGTCGTTGTTGTGTATTGCAGACTGGGAGTGAAGCGGTGGTCCGGATCGTGTTTTCTTCGAAGGGACACACTGGTTTACAGTGGCAGTCTGTATGGGCAACTTCGTCGAGGTCGGATTGTTGTTGAATATCTCGGAGAACTGACGGACTACGGGACATGCCAGGGGAAAACGACACGTCCCGTAGTGGGAATTTACAGCTCAGCGACGGCCGAAGGCATGATTCTCGACGAAGTTTGGTATTGGGTGACTGGACTTGGTTTCTGTGATGGGATCGTGCGACTTCGTTGTCTTGATGGGATAGATTGTGTAAATGGTCTGGAGAAGAGGGGAGGGAAACGTCCAAGTCCAAGGTCCGGCGCTGCTAGAATAGATATTTGCTCCAAACTTTTTTTTTCTCGGTGGTGGGGTCGGCGGCTCTGATTCGTCTGGCCCAAGCTGAGACCAACCTTTCCTGATGGGGAAATGCGTCACCGCCATTTTGGAGCCTCGTAACTTTTTTTCTCTCTCGCTGTTCATGGCCGTTGATCCATTTGAATAATTCAAGCGTATGAATAGCACTTGAGCGTCAAGCTTCATACTGGTATGTATACTACATCTTATTCTTGCATTTGAAGGGTTGGACCATGTCAATTCGCCCAAGGAGAGTAAAAAGCCCTGCAACCGCTAGTCATTATCACTATCCTGGGATTGCTGCTCAGGTTGCATCTGTTCCCATTTAGGAGTGGTAGGAAACAAGCTACATAACTCTGTACTGTGCAGGCGAGGATGGGAATTGGTCAAGATGGAACCTGATCTGACCAGGCTTCTTCCATGCTTCAGTCGAACGAGATAAATACCAGCCCCAGACACTGCAGATTTCTCAAGTGAATATAGCCGGGCGGGTACGCCGTCACCACGGCTCCGCAGGCCCCGTAAACATCCAATAATACAATCTCTGTAGTCAATTGCATGTATGCATTAAATTTTTTTTTTTTTTTTTTTTTTCGCGCCTTCATAGTCCTGTCTCGCCAAGCTCGCCTGTCTATCGGCTTCTGGCCGCTACAGATTTTTCTCGATATTTCTCGCTGCACGACTAATAGACGACTCCACCTTTAGCAACGATCATCTGGGCTGGAATGTCAGAAGCCAAGTCTCCGCTCCTGGGTGACGAATAGGTCGCCTGCCAAACGGACCACAAGTGGGAGTCATAGCCTCCAAAATGAGTGACCATTGACACACGGAAACCCATGTAGAGTTTGGGATATGCAGGTTGGGGAAGATGAGGAGATTCTCAGGTTCCGCAGAGACATGTGCTGATCCCAGCCGGAGGGGGGAGGTCTTTTGGTCTCATGGCCGGCTCATTTCATTTATGCAGTACTGCAACACGTATGCGCCCACCATAGTCCACATGCAGGTCAACGGGCGGGCGATACATAAGCGAGTAATGGAGAGACCAATAAGGCGATCTTGACAGTCATCAGAATAGAAAGCGGGTGCGTACATGACAAACGAGGCAAGAAGACGGACGACATTCGAGATGGCCTCTTCAAGCTACGGCCGTCTTGTAGTTCAGCAATATTAAACCACGTTCTTGGATCCAAGCATCTAGAGCCCAACTGCTCTCTCTAAAGGCAGTCGTAACTCTCATGGGCAAATCCACTGGCATTAATAACAATCACAGCAAGCAACAATGATGCGGAAATGCCTCAGTAGGCGCAGCATGCTAAAACCGTCCTTGTCTATGATTGCTAGCCGCTCTAATAATTTCATACTTTTAGACCCTTATGTGACTTTATACTTCAGCATCCATCTACATGCTGCATTTCACCGGCAGCCACCCAATGGCAATAAACAGCGCCAGTGATGATTCAACTCTATCCATTACACATTGCATAGTTAGAGAAGCGTCTGCCGTGCAGTATGTTGTATACGATCCTCCGGATCTTGTTGCATTAACCAATTGTATCTTGGCGAAATTCCGACAATCCCGTGTGAAGATTGACATTCGAAAGTTTTTTTTTTTTTTCTTGTCCTCGCTCCCTTAGCCCATTCCTCCCCAGGACCCTGACCCACTCATCATGCCCCTCACCTGGAACCTACCGAGCTGTGACGTGTGTCGCCATTTCGCGCGAAGTGGGCGAAAAGTTCGTCGAGGCAATCGAGCAATCAAACTGCCCCTCATCGTCATTCCAAACTGAAGTGCTGAATTTGTCTATACGTACTATGTACTACTGTGTATGTAGAGCTGGGGCTTCTTCTTCTTCTTTTGTTCTTCCCCCCTCGGTCTCTCCCCCTTTGGTTTCCGACTTGCTGCGTACTTCGATATTCCCGAATTCTACGCCATAGTTGTAAATCCAGAGACTCTCTCCTACATTAGTGCCAAGAGGTCAGTAAGCTTCGGCAAGCACACGACCAATCTCCTCATCCAACCTTATTACCGAACGTATGCTGGAGGCATGTGCATACAGCGAGTGCAGATTTGAAGTCGAAAACTTGTCTGCTAGCATCTTGGCTTGATTGACATTGCTCCTCTTGCAACAACTAGTGCCAACCATGATGCAATCTTTCTTCTGTCCGCTCTCATCCTACCCACCTCTACTACCGGGAACATGTAAGCAATACGCTGCATTAGAAAGAGGACAACGAACAGAATCGAGGCAGCAATCTGCGCCGTAATCCATTGATGGTGGCACAGTAGGATTGGATGTAGGTAGTCATCGTCTCGAATAGGCTTTTGACTCACAAGAACCCGGTCCAGAGCAATCTGCAGATAGACCAATCATGCAGCATTTTTAGTTATTTTTTTGTCAGTAAGATGCCGCCAACAGACTGGCCAAGCCAGCTGCTAGATGATGACTCGGTCCATATTCCAAGCCGTTTTCAATTTTCCCCCTCCCCTCCTCGTCCTGAGCCCATGCACATAATTTGAATTGTTAACTGGTGTACAGAGTATTATGATTTTCAGCATACTTTATACACAGTGAATCCTATCATTGATACTGGAACATTTTGAAACCGTGGCATTCGGAGGGCTGGCGAAAGAAATGAATCTTTACCCCTATGCCAAGCCACATAGTAATACAAATGTACATAGAGTAAGACGATGCTGCACGGGTTGTAGGTAGAAAGGTAGGTATGTACGGAGTAGTATTTCTGAACACACGGAATACGGAGCATACCGCCCAATTCTGGCTAGGTCCCGGTCTGTCCAGGCACAAACCGTGCAAATCTGGAACAGGGCAAGACATTTTTATTCCCTTGGGCGGCCCGAGCGGCGGGCAAGCGGGCGGATTGGGCGGAATTGAGGTCCCCCAAGGTCCCTTTGTGGAGACCCCATAAAAAACAGGCTTGCAACTCAATTAGCTTATCTTATCGCATCGGCTACGTTGCCGCTAGCAACGATCTCATCGACGGCCGCCCAAGTCAATAGCGCTAGTACCCTTCTGGACCATTCGTGATTTGGAAATTCGATTTCCTTGTGAATGCCATACAACATTCATAGTTCACCAACTTCTGCAACTTCATCTTGCAGCACACGTCGCTCTTTTCCACTTGCTCCACACACTGCTTGTCCTATCAAAGCAAGACAAGACAAGACAACACCCACAAAACAAGACACTTACCACAAACAACAAGCATCATGGATCCTCCACCGCCACCGCCGAAATCACCGGCGAGCGCGAGCCTCTTCCAGGTCTATCTACGACTGCGACCAGCACCGGCAAGCACGACGAATCCTGACCGATTCCTCCTCGTCGAAGAGCCCGAGCAGTCCCAACCGCCGACTCATATCACACTCAACCCGCCAAATGATCGTAGACGCGCCATCGAGAAGTTTGCCTTTACCCAGGTCTTTGAGGAAGATGCTACGCAGCTTGACCTCTTCCAAGGCACTCGAGTCTTGCCCCTGGTCGAGGGTGCCCTCGCACCACACGGCGGAGATGGCACAGACGGACTGTTGGCGACCCTGGGTGTGACTGGCTCTGGAAAGGTTCGCCATATTCTCCCCTGATGCACTCTTGCCTGTCGGATAATACTAAAACTTGACAGACGCATACCATGCTCGGCTCCAAGACGCAGCGCGGTCTCACACAACTAGCTCTCGATGTCATTTTCCGTTCAATAGAGCCTACCTTGGTCGACTGCGCTGGTAACCCTGCACTCGAAGCCAGCATCACGGCGTCGGATCCGTCCGAGGCCAACATTCTCGCAGCGCCAGCCTTTCTCGAGACTGTGTACAGTGACTTTGCCGCATCAGCGAGAACATCCAGAACATCCAGAGCTTCAAGAGCGACTACACCAATGGTGGTACGACACCCTCCCAAACATGATTTCAACGGACCTCTACGGCAGGATTTCCCTCAGCTGCCAGGGGCGTTTCCTGATAGTCCTGGCAGTTCGCAGGTTGTTCGTCACGAAGACGAGAATCAGATACATCTACAATCACCAATGCCCCCAAGTGCGAGGCATCAAAGCAAGATGCTTTCCAATGGCGAGAAGTCTTCGTCATCCCGGCCAGAGTTGGCTCGTGGCCTCCAGAACAAGAACCATTACATGACCCTAACTTCAGCTTCAAAACTAAAGAGCATAACCAAATCTAACAAATTTCCTGTAAAGGGCGATCAAGCACCACCACCAACGCCGCGGCTGCGACTACCAAGGCCATCAGCAATGGCGCAAACTCCCGACATTGACTCGATCCGCGCCTCCTGCGATCCTACGGCAGAATACGCAATCTTGATCTCCATGTACGAAGTATACAATGATCGCATCTTTGATCTCTTGACGCCTGCAATCCGATCGAATATCACGAAAGAATACCGACGCCGCCCACTGCTCTTCAAGTATACCGAACAGTCATCAGACCGCAAGGTGGTTGCTGGACTACGCAAGATCATCTGCGGAAATCTCAAGGAGGCACTGATGGTTCTGGAAGCCGGTCTCCACGAACGAAGAGTGGCAGGCACTGGCAGTAATAGCGTGTCTTCCAGAAGCCACGGTTTCTTTTGTGTTGAGGTCAAGAAACGCCGCAAGGACCGAACGAATGACGCCTGGGATGGCAGTACCCTAAGTATTGTTGACCTTGCAGGCAGTGAGCGGGCGCGGGACGCGAAAACGCAGGGCGCCACATTGGCGGAGGCAGGCAAGATCAACGAGAGCCTAATGTATCTGGGCCAGTGCTTACAGATGCAGAGTGACATTGGCAATACGAGCAAGGTAATTTGTCTTGAATATGAAATCGCAGAAGGCTTCTGACTAACATGACTATAGCCAAACTTGGTGCCTTTCCGGCAATGCAAGTTGACAGAACTGCTCTTCTCGAATTCTTTCCCGTCTCCATCACTTTCACAATCCCACAGGCATCGCCGCCCCCCTCAAAAAGCAGTCATGATTGTGACCGCGGATCCCCTGGGCGACTTTAACGCGACATCACAAATCTTGCGATACAGTGCTCTAGCTAGGGAGATTACGGTGCCTCGAATCCCGTCAATCACATCAACCATACTCAACGGCCAGCAGCCGGCATACCCAAGCCTGCCTCCATTCAGCCCTAGTAGTAGTCCGCCTCTCTCATCCCCCATATCTCAGAGCAAGCCCTTCTTCAAGACGAACATGTTTGGCCCACCGGCCAACCGCCGAGTCTACAGTCCGGCTTCCGACAGCGAGCGTGCCACCATGGAAAATGCGGCCTTGGAGATCGCTCGATTGTCCGAATTGGTTGATCAGCTCAACAGAGATCTGGCGCGGGAGACTGAGGCACGCATGACTGCCGAGGCACACTTGACGTCTATGGAAGACCGCATGGTTGACCTCGAGCAGGAGATCCGTGAAGAGTGCTATAATGACTTTGAGCAGCGCTTGGCACTGGAGATGGCCAGGTCAAAGGTCAGCATGAGTTTAGAGCAGGAGAGAGGTGAAGAGCACTGGGACAAGAAGGTGGAGGTCTTGGCGAGAAGTGTGGGCGCCAGTATGACCATCTCCAGCGATGGAGAGCCAGAGGATGAGGACAAGGAAAACGTCCTTATCGAAAACCTTGAGCAGGAGAATGAGAGGCTCACGAGGGAAGTTTCCATACTCAAGAAGGAGCTTGGAACCCGGACCCCAAGCAGAAGAACACCACTCTCGGAACGAGGTGATTTTATTGGAATTAAAAACGACATGACAGGATTGAACAACAGGTTGCAGGAGCTCAAGGTTAGCGATGGCGGCGAGGAGCCGAGAAGCAGCACCCGGAAAAGCAGGACGGTAAACACAGGAAGCCCGACCAAAAAGGTCCGCAAATTGACAGCGAAAAAGTGGGAAAGCATTGACATTGACGATAATGTCTTTTGAGGGTGTTCAGGTTGATTTTGGGGTACCGACGAAATGAGATAATGAACGAGCTGATGCACAATGATGGATGGCTGGACTATTACGGAATTTGAAGAGGGAAACGTTTTTGTTGTTAGGGGAGATTGACTTCCCCAGCGGTGTCGGTGTGGATACATGACCCGAGTATACCCTTTTTAGTTATTGTTTTTTCTTTGGTTTGGACTCTTTCGATATGACTGATGGTAATACGAATTGGATCTTTATTTACCATGCTGCGCCTGATAGTTCAATACATTTCTCTATATCTTCGCATGCTTCAAGCTGAACAGGTTTACTTCTCTCATGCTGCATCACTCCAGGTATAGTGTTTCTCAAGTCATGTTGCTCGCTCATTCAATTCATATGTCTGAGTTCTTTTTTCTACATTATCATTACGGAATAGCAAGCCACTTTGCGTCTTTGCTTCGTTTTTGGTATTCCTCAAACAGTCCTACAAGCCAATAAGGGAAAAGCAGCCAGCTCAGGCCTCAGTGAGAGGCTTTAGTCGTTGCACGATAGCTGTCGTGTTGCAGTTTTTGGGTGCACTATAGTCAATCGTGTACAGGCTGAGGGAGACTTTGCCGGCGCTGACCGTGTCCGTCTCGCCGGGCAGCGAACAGTCGCCATTGATGCACGTGTTGACGCCAGCGCTGCGCGGCGACAAATTGGACCAGGTAAAGGTGCCCGCCGTCGTAGCTGCCACGGCCGCGTCCGTTTCGGCGCCGCCCGTGTACCGCGTCTGCACAATGTCCATCGAGCTCCAGTTGGCGTACAGCCGAGGATAGTTGACATTGGCTCCGTAACCCAGGGGGAGAATGGGTCCTCCCGCCGGTGCCGATGACACAAAGGCGTCCACGACGCGGCCTGATAGTTCAGCCACGTACGTGTACTCGTTGGTGGTGTTGGTGATGGTCTTGTACGAGGCGGCCGAGTTGGACGCGGAGAAGGCAATGGCTGGAATGGATCTCGAGGTTGCGGCGTAGGCGGCGCCAGCAGTACCCGACAAAGTCCAGACAAAGGCGCCGAGGTTGGTGCCGTAGTTGGGGCCCGTGACGACCAAGTCCGGGACGCTGAAGTTGGCAAAGTTGGGCAGCACATAGTCCAGAGCGACAAAGGTACAAGCTGCGGGCGTCCCGTTGTAATACCAGATCTGGCTGTCTGCGGGATCTGGCCCGACCGACGGTGCTCCGGTTGGGATCAAGTCGTACTGCGCCGGTGAGGTCAAGTTGGGATAAGTCGTGAAGTCCGATCGACCTCCCTGTCCGCTCTGCTGAACAGCGGGCGCAACAATCCAGACTATGGGTTGTTGTCAGTATACATATATAGAGTGCTTTTGGTAACAGCCACGAGCAAGGAGGAGCGTACCATTATGACCCTTGGCCTTGAGCACCTTGTAAAACTCCCGAAGATTGGCACTTCCGAAGCCGTCGTCATTGTTCATCAAGATGTTGAGGGCGTTGGCCGAGCCCAAGGCAAGGGCGCCAGCAGTGAAGAAAGAGGACGCGCGCATGATGGCGACTCAAAACCCAATCTTCGTAAACACTGAACAGGGCAGGCAATTGACGACAAACAGGACTCACGAGCAAGAGTTAAAAAAGGGCAAGGTGAAGAAAGAAAGAGGCCGAGGTCGCAGCACTTTGAAATAGATGCGCGCGGCTCCGGCCTCCTCTTTATGCAGTTTCCATCAGCTCAAGGCATGGGCAGAAGACGTACTGGGCAACGAGGCACGCGACACTCTCAATGTTTGTTGGCGAGTCCGACAATAATCCGTTTGCATGCAGGAACCAAGACCCGTCAACCTGGTCCACCGAGATGAGCGACACCGTATCTCCTTCCCACTTTGGTATGGTAGAGCTGGGCAATGCAGCTGTGGAGCCGAGCCAGTCAGCCGGGGATGGTTCTGATAAGCTGAAATGCATGGCCATGGTCCGAGATACGCTACTCCTCCGTACGTATATCCACTACCATCGTGTACATGGTAGTAGAAGAGCGGCTCAGGCAAGCATATTTGCATGGCTTCAATGTCTTGAAATACCCCACGAGGCGCTGACGTCCAATCGGAAGTATTCAATGATTAGCAGCATCCAGAAAGCGGTCCTCAAACTACATATGACACTACACAGTAAATATATTGTCCAGACTGACCCCGGTATTGAATCTATTTTTGCCTATTGTGTTTGTATCTTGCAGAATCGAGAGAGTTCAAATTGGATGGCGCATACGACCTCTTACCTTGAAAGGCATTGTAACACTTGAGAAAAGAGATGCCACAAGCAAATGGTATGGCAGACTGCCCAATTCTCTTTTGCTATTTTAGGTATTCTTTCTGGAGCCTCTGGCTCTGAATCGTACAACACCTTGCTCTCCTAGCGAGGTGTCAATGCGGCTTTGGTGTAAATGACGACTTCTGCAGGCTTTGAAGCCTTTCTGCCTTGTCATTGTTTTTGCCCTTTGACCTTTCTGTCTCCTGGGGAAGTGAGAGAAATCTGAACTTTGTGGCCCCGGCGGTCTACGGCGGTGTACAAGACCAAGTCAAGCGGGGCAGAATGATCTCTTGTCATTGTCTAGAAGTATGTCTTTGGTTATGATTGTCAGTGGGATGGCGAGTGTTATGGCAGGAAGAACTGCAGTCGTCCATGCTAATCGTGCAAGAGGAGAAACCAGCCTATTTATAAGAGGCCCCCCTAGATTATTGCTTCACACTAAGGTTTCACTGACGGCATAATAAGGCGTCGTGAATCTCTTTCAACAGAAATGGCCGGATACAGAGATCGATACATGATATTTCAATTCTGTTTATCAACTTTCTCGTGCGAGCATTGGAGGCCTAATACCCCGGGAAACGATTATGATGTCCAAGCTACCTCCTCAAACCACCAGACAATCCACCAAGCTCTGTGGCTAATCAAAGCAAGAATTCCAAAAATTATTTTGCCAAGAATAGAGTGACCTCAAACCTAAGAGACTTTGGACAGATAAAAAACACTCTCTGTTGATCCGATTTCACCCAACCACCCTTGAACCCAGCCGGTCCTAGAAAAGAGTACTGGGAGAATATTTTGTGGTCCAATCATGATGGCTATTTGTTGTATGCGTCCGATTTCCTTTTGTAGACAATTGACAATTCGCAAGGGGCTGTATTCATCTGAGAATATTCAGGGACTAGTAGCTTCCGGGCAGATGAGCAGCAAGTACGACAGACATGGAGAACATCTTTACTGAAACAATGTTTGCGCGTATCGCACCTTGCAATCAGTTCCCTCACCAGCCAAGCCATCTTCCAAGAAACTCCCAAAGAGCGTTCCTGGCCCTCGCCATAGGGCCTTGCCTCTCCGGTCCTCGATTCTCGTTGGTCAACTCCAATAGTAATCTTTGAGACTCTGACTTTTGTCTGGCGACTGTAGTTCGGGCGGAAAAGTTCATCAGGTACGCAACCGTTGACAAGGTGAAATGCTTCAGCATTCTCGTTGCGTCACCTCTGGTACTGCACATCATGGCGACAAGAGTGTCGAGAGAGTCCAGTCGGCGATCTATGGCTTCAGCGTATAATTCTTCTCGTTGGATTTCGGGAGCAAGCAGCTCATAAAAAGATGCGTTGAAATCAGCCATGGTATCCTCTTCTCCCAGAACCCAAATCGTGCGGTTAGCGGCGCTGAGGACGTACTCAACCCTCTGCAGGGTGGTCATCATAGGTACAATCCCATCGTCCACCCATCCTTCAGGTGGAATGCCCGTGCTTATATTTTCCAGTATTTGGACGATTTCCTCGTGGAAAAAGCCCCGGAGTAATCCTGGCTCGCTGGCCCAGTTAGGAATATAATTGAGGTGTGGGTAAAGATATTGCCGTGACATTGCTGGTAATGCGCAAGAATTGTACTTGTCTCAAAGTGAATATAGAGCACTCGATGATATGGAAATTGCAGATGGACTTCCCGTAACTTCGTCCAGTATTTAAGAAATTTCCGGGGGTGTTTCGAGGCGCGAAAACCCAGCAGATGAGTACCCGTATGGTCACAAAGGTAGATGGCAGTTGCAATATGATACACCCGGCCACCTAAAATATAGATGTAAAAAGGCTACGTGGAAAAATAAGTTAACGCCCGGAACCTCAGTTGATCGAAGACTGCTAGTGGCTTGTAGAGAGCATCACTCTTAAAAGCGTGCCATTTCAAGGGCTAATGATAACCTTTTCACCCAAACTGTTCTTTACCTCGGCGAGGTCCCAACCTTTTTTCCACTCTTCGAGGCCAAAGATGCCAGGTGTACTGCAACCTCCATCCCCGCCAAGCTTCAAGAGGCCAAGCTCTACCATGTTGATCAGCGAGAAGATATCGTGTCGGTCGTACATCCATTTCCCTCTGAGCGTAATATCATTGATCATGATGAAAGTATATGGCACGGCAGCGTCGTCGGTCAAGCTGCCCATCATGCTGACTCTACCGCTGTGCTTCAGAGACAAAATGCCGGTCTTGAAATGTGTAGATCCTGTAGCTTGAGGTGGCGAGATGTCGAAATAGGCGTCAATCGGACGCCCGCCCGCGGCAAGCCTAATCGCCTCAGTGTCCTTGATGGGTTCATTGTGCATCTTCACAGTCTTGATCATCCCTCGAAAGCGCCCAGAGTTGATATTCTGTAGTTTCCCCTCAATATTTTGGAGTTCTTGTTCATCCCGGCCCCAAGCCAGCACTCTGGCGCCCATGGCCAACGCAACCAGACAGGCAGCTCCGCCGAAAGGCCCGGTAGCTGGACTCACGAGCACCGTTTCGCCAGGTTTGAGGCCGACGCTAGTTAGCCCTCCAAAGGGAACCAGGAGCTTATATATATCCCCAACGTCGTGGACACCTAAACCCAAGCCGCCCTGCTCAGGACTTCCGAGGAGGCGCTGCTCGTCCAGGACAAAAACATTCTCGAGAGGTACCCTCACATACTCGGCAAAGGCGCCGTCGCGGACTCCGCCGTCGCGCATCAGCTTCTGGCTTGCCTCGCTGAAACCGCCAGTAATGGCGCTCAAGAAATTCTTTGGTCCGTCGCCCTGGGCATCGCGGGCGCGGATGTAACAATCAAACAGCACGAGCTGGCCAACCTTCAACGAGGTGGCGTCTGGCCCCAGAGACGCAACTCGGCAGACCGCTGAAGTACCAGGCACTATGGGTAGAGGGTACTCATATCCGCGCTTGTTGCCAATGAAGAGATCGTTCATGTAAGACAAGATGGGCGCCGAAAGGACCCGGAGGACCGCCGTGCCCGGCAGTACTTGTGGGGCCGGTATGGTTTCAACCTTGGGTTCGACATTGACGTCGCGGACCACGAGAGCGCGGTGCAATTCAGGAACGGAACCTTGATTCGATGTCATCTTGGGGCTAATGGTATTTCACCAGGTATAGGATCGAGTCTGACGTTTAATCGAGATAGGAAAGACTTGGCTAAAGAAATGCAAATACCATTCAACATTCCACTTTCCAATCGGCCCTTTTTAAGTTTCTACGTAACTTGACCCTCAGATCCGGATTTTCCGCAATCTCCGTCCAAAGGTCGTCACGTAAGACCTGCTCGCTACAATGCAGTAATCTGAAAATGACCAAGCAGAGGCAGAGGTTTGGGTTGATGGCTGGTCTTAAGTCCGAGCCACTGCATGATTGGCTGCCAACGCCATGAGTATGACCTTATCGCCGAAGCTGACCGATTTCGACAGTATGAAATGATATATAGTAGTCGGGATGACAGAGTATATCAAGTTGATGAAGGCGCCTTTCACGGATCCTGATATCAGATCGTCACTACTACAAGCCCTTGAACCCCTGCACTTCCGATGATTGGTCCCGTATTGTTGGAGTACCTATTGTGGCTAAGCCCTCAGTGCTGCCAACTAAGACATTTCAAAACAAGGGTTAATAGTATACCTGTTTGTTCTCTTTGTAGGAACGTCAGAGAAGGATCCAAAGACGATATAATTGTGCGACTCAGCGATGAGATGCCCATGTTTCGGGAGCTGAGGTTGTCATCTCGAACCAAGGATGAGTCGCGCAATGAAACCCCACGGAGGACGGGGGACGAGAGCTCTTGTGGAGTTGGTTGGTCCCAGCCTGGACGACTTTGAATGCAAGGCTTATCAGGATGCAAGGTTGTAGTTGGCCAGAAAAGCAGGCCGTATTAGGCGCCAAGGTTGAGTCTCCTCACGAGGCTCTGGCCTTCCAAAGTCTGGCATTTTGACCATTACTCTACTTCGTTTACTTCCATCATTCCTCTGGGAACAAGGTGGAAGGTCGGGGAGAGTTATCTGCCAAAAGTATCGCAGAAAGTAATAGCCTTTTTTCTTTTCATCTTCAGACATGCCGCCGACAGCACGTCGCCACCCGCGCAGCACGCCTCGAATCGACCGACCATATCTTGCAGGATATATCGGCTGGCTGCCTCCCAAGGACGCAGATGAACCTGACTCCGGGCACGATGATGGATTTTATGGCCATCCCATCGTCATTCTGTCGCCCCTCGCCCAAGATGGCAGGGTCGTGTTTTTAACGGCAAGCTGCTACAGGAAAAAAAAAAAAAAAAACACTTGTCCAGATATCGCGAGCACTGACAAAGTAATAGCTTACCAGCTTTGGCGGCAATGATCTGGCATCCAAATATACATCTACCCATGCCCGAGGGAGATATTTGCCAATTTCGCCTAGTCCCGCGCATCCTGACAATGGTAAATTGCTATACCTTGATGTGTCGAGTTTGCCTTTACGGAGATCATCAAATATCAATACAGAGAACAAGCGCGAAATGGAGCTGTCGTCATTCCGTCCATATGATAGCAATAGTGGCAATGTGTGTTTGCTGTCACGGAATTCCTATCAAGAGTTGATTGAATATGCCAGATTTGAAGTGCCACTGGCCGACCTCCATCAACATGATCTGCTCTCCTCGATCATGTCCAATGGGGCCCAGATTAGTCCTAGCCAGGCGAACTCTACCAGATACCAGCCTATTCCACGGATATCAAATCATGGGGGCGCGCCAACTCGCCATCAAACGCATCACGGGGCTGGTGGGCGGACGACTGGTCGAGGCCAATCTCAGCGGGCAGAGAGATTTACAAGGCCAGCCTCGAGACCACATGGCAATTATGGCACGATCAGCTCCTCGAGCAGATCCCAGCAGCCCGTCGTTCGGACTCCTAATGCAACACAATCAGACAGTGGCTCGAGCGGCTCAATCGGAACAGTGTTGGAGATGTTCCTCTGGTGTGCCTTGGCCATTGTGCTTGGCTATGGTGCATATCGTGCTGGGTGCTGGACTGTATGGGCGGCTGGGGCTGCGATAGATGCCATCAAGGATGCCTGGGGAGCAGCCACGGGGGCCATCCGCCAAACCATTAATGGGACAATCGCGACTGTCAAAAACGTCCCCTCCACCGCTTCGACGGAATCGGGTTATTGGACTTTTTGTGAAAATCTGATCATGTGCGCCTCTCCGACTTCAAACTTTTAAAGAGTCACAAACTGATGCCATTTGAGTTCTGTTACAAGAATCATTTCTGGGTTTGCGATTTGGGGGTTTTTCTTTTTCTTTTCTTTCGATTTCCCGAGTTGGATACTCACGGTACATTATTTGAATTCATATGAGCTGGCATTTATGTAATTACTAAGTCAAAGGGACTTTGATAAAAAGTGGTGGTGTATATCGGTCGTACTAGTATATAAAACTAGGTTCCATCAATGTACATAATAAGTTACAGGGAATATCTACTAGATACATATGTATTAGTACTATGTGTGCTGTTAGGTACATCAAGGTACAATGTAGGTATGTATGTCAAGTGCCTGGCCTTGACACTCGACCCATTTCAAGTTGAACTCTGGGGTGGCTGCCCCACTACAGTAGCTCGACTCTTTCCATCACTTAACGCGTCAACGCGTCCCTCCTACTGGCAGGCACATTGAGAGCTAACCTAGGTAGGTACACATGTCGACTTCAAGCTGGAAACCAACGCCTAATTCTTTGATACAGACAACACATTCTCACGAGCCCTTGAACTAAGCTGCGAGCCTCCTCTTCGACAATGGAGGAATGGAGCAAGCATCACTTCTTCCACCACGGCAAGCCAGTAAGAATTTATATTACCCCTGCATTGTGCTGGTAGCACATAGCAAAACTCTTGTTTCCCGTCGGTCAAGCCACTGACCCATTCCAGAGCCGTGAGGCCGAAAAGAGAAATTGTCACTGGTGCCAAATTCGCCGCTTCAAGACTCACCCCGAATTCCCGGTCACCATTATCAACCGCATGGACCAAATCGTTCCCGACCCTGAATTTCGCTTCATTGACCACTCCGTCTTCGGCGCCGGTGTCGAGCCTACCAAAGACGAGTTTCGTAGCGGCTGCGACTGCGAGGATGGCATGGATTGCCAATACAGAGACTGCCACTGCCTGCAAGAGATGTATGACTCCGAGGACGTGGATGAGGAAGACGGAGACTATGGCGACCTGACGCAACGAAAATCATACGCATACCATACCCACGGCACAAAGAAGGGACACCTGCGGTCCAAGGTCCTCGAGTCACGGGAACCCATATACGAATGCCACGACGGTTGCTCATGTGGTCCAGACTGCCCAAACCGTGTGGTGGAACGAGGCCGGCAAATTCCCCTGCAAATCTTCCGCACCCCTAACCGAGGCTGGGGCGTCAGAAGTATGGTAGACATCAAAAGAGGCCAATTCATCGACAAGTACATTGGCGAGGTCATCACACCCCAAGAGGCGGACCGTAGAAGAGCTCGGTCCGATATTGCCCAGCGCAAGGACGTGTACCTCTTCGCCCTGGATAAATTCTCGGATCCAGACTCGCCAGACGAAAGGCTGAGAGGACCGCCTCTCGAAGTTGACGGAGAATTCATGTCAGGCCCGACCAGATTCATCAACCACTCTTGCGATCCCAATCTGCGGATTTTTGCCAGAGTCGGCGACCATGCAGATAAACATATTCACGATCTTGCCTTGTTCGCCATTGTGGACATACCAAAGGGTGACGAATTGACGTTTGATTATGTGGATGGGGTCGACGATTCGGAAAACGATGCCCTAGACCCGACAAAGAAGAAAGATATGACCGTATGCCTATGCGGTAGTTCAAAATGTCGCGGCTTTCTGTGGTGAAACTGCCAGGTTTTCGTGAACTTTCCGCTGCGACGAGAAGCTCTAACCTACGGCCCGAGGAACAATTCCAAATCAACGCAGAGATGATTTCAAGATTCCAGATTATATTTCAGGAATCGGCTACGGACCAGTCGACTTTGGACCAGAAAAGCGCACGCAGGTTTCTGGGTCTATGGAGGAAATATTTCAACCTATGCTATGATTGTTTCCTTGCATACCTGGCCTAGCTCGCTAGCTAAAGGCCACCAGTATTCAATCATGCGCTATCATGGTTTCGGTCTGACAATTTTTTATAAATTCAGCTTAGAAACCTGGAGGCAGCAGCCCTGGCGTCTGTCCATTATAATCACACGGCTCGCATCGCCATGGAAAGCACGCCAATACGCCATATTCTGATCTGGGACCACCCGCCATTGCTGTCAGGATGTCTCTAAACCATGGGGTGGAGAGCTCCGCTCGACCAGATTCTGGCTGATGGCAGCGATTAGATTCAGTTGTTAGACCATTGGTTTTCCAATTGTTCGCAGCAGTGCCAAAGGCAGATGCAACTGCTAGCCAGCTCTGTTGCCTAAAGTCAGTCTCACAAGCATTATTCATGATAGTTGCTGCTTGTGATATGGGCTGCAATAGTGTAGCCTGGAATGGGATTTGTAACAAAGTGGTCTCGAGATGTCTGGTTTGATTGCAGCCATAAATTGGATGCTTGGGACCATTTCATGGCAGTGCAGACGACCAAGCCGAATAGCGGGATCAGCTACTCATCACGTTCAGCATGCTGGGCTGTGGTAATGAAATCAAGGAGAAAGCTTTTTCCAAACATGGACTGGCCTAGAGAAGCCCTCTTCTTCCCTTTCAGACTCGAGAACTCTTTCGAATCCTTGTGCTTTCAACTCCTCGTCGAATGGTGGCTGAATCTTGATGGTCTTGTATGTCTCTCTCAACTCCTTATTCCTTTTCGAAGCTCTCTGGTAGTTGCTCATCGGCTGAGGCTCGACGACTAGATGCCCACCCTCGTTGAGCAGGTTGTGGATATGTTCAAACAGAGCCAACATGCCCGCATCGCCATTATTGAGATGTATCCACTTGGTCACGGAGAGGAGAAGGACAACGTCAAACTTTCCAAGCGCTGTACCGGTATAGGCGGATCGGTCGACAAAGTCGAAATGCTCAAAGGTACAGGGCCCGTCTGGATACGTCGCCCTGGCTTGGTCGATTAGCCAAGGGTCAATGTCGACGCCGACGGACGCGATAGCGCCACAGTGTACCATGGTCTCGTAGGTGAGCTTGCCAGCATTGCAGCCCAGGTCGAGGACGCGCGAATCGCGGAGGATATCGGACGGGAGGATCGAGAGGCGCTCGTCGGGTACCGTTTGGGCGCGGAACTTTGCATAATACTGGTGATAATTTCCATGGCGTGCGAGCAGATGAGTCTCCTTGAAGCGCTGACTCCTGGTGAGCGGCTCTTCAATCTGCGCAGCATTGGGGGTTGACATTGCGACACGCGCCTCGAGGAGTAAATATGTGCAAGGATTGCAAATTGACCAAGAACTGCGCGATAAGGTTATCTTCATACATATGGTGGGGTCGTGGTGGGGTCATGGTAGTCCAGGGTTAGCGAGGGTTACGCGACACTCGCATAGTCTTGATCTTTCGTCCTATTTGAACATGAGAGTTAGACCTCCCTAGGTTAGAGTCTCCAGCCGGGCCGTGTCTTCATATTCAATCCTCCTCCAAAGCCTTGGCCCCAGGTGGCCAAAGACGGTTCTCGTCGCTTAATTGAGGTTGCCGAGTTTGCGGTGCGTGCTCAGGACTTGGACTGACAAAACCAAACTTGCCTTGATTCTTGTTGGTATTGGTGTTTTGCAGAATCTTGACGAGTTTCTCTTGAGGCTGTTGGTTTGCCCTTTGCAGGCTAGCATTCTCATCCTTGAGTGCTTTGCATTCATTTTTCATGTCAATGATTCCGATGAATGTCTTATGTTCCAACTCCCATATTTCATGCCTGAGGTTGATGATGATGATGACTCTAGTTCTTTTGCGCCTCAGACTTTTCAGGTAAATGCGTTAGAGTAGTAGTATCTGATTCCGGATGTATTCACGAGAGACAGCCTCCTGAAGCTAGCTCTTTGTGCTCTTGGACCTCCGCGTCGTCTTGTACCAAATCACTGTCAGGAATAAGAGGGGGGCAAACGACGACTCACGGCGGGTTTGGTCCTCATGACGAGGGCTGTTTTTATAATTACTAGCGATAAATAGCGGACGAGATTACCGAGAGCAAAAGAGCACTGCAGGTCAATGGAGGGAATTGAAGGGAGACAAGGAATCAAAAGCGCGTTGATCGCGTCATTAAGATTTGTTTTCCCTTCGATGTGGGTAGGTTAGCTGCTGGTGTCCGGCGCTTCAGCAATACTTAATGTACGTGGACACAACAGCAGACACTGAGAGGCCATCTTGCTGCATTTGGAATAAAGCAGCACTTTATACGAATTACATTCACTTGCAACATCATAGAATCATGGTGTTCAATGTCCGTTCACCATGACAACTTGGGCTCGTACACAGTAGACGAGATCCGCGCAGCGTAAATGGGTAATAGGTTCATAATGTTTGCCCCCCCAGCAAGCGTGAATAAATAAGCATTTAAAGTGACCGTTTTAAGTCGTGGTGGGGCTCTTCTCCTAACCACTACTGTAGTGCACTATATATTGCGGCAATCGGCTACCATATTGGACAACCTCGTATTGGCAAACCCGGTTTGATGACATTCTTTTTCCCCTTATAGAATGGCCGACTTAATGTTGATCGCTGCCTTTGTTTCTACCTCGGAGAACGAGATGCGCGGTACATAATCATGATTGAGGTGTCTCTTATAGCATCGGAACCGGCAATGAGCATAAAATATGCAGCAAAAATTTAGCCTCTCAGTATAGACTGCTGCTTCTACTGTTTAGGATATAAACTTCTAGCTAGAGCAGAAACGGGTATACGGAAGGTTGCACCGCTCCGCTTGCGAAATCGTTTGCGGAAAGAAAAGGGACTAGAATTTCCAGTCGCACGAGGTTGAGGGGTGATCATGAACTAGAAACAGCCCGAAATTATCGTCATGTCATCCCAAGTCTGCATCCCCTGCCGACGCCCCCTTGTCTTCTCCACGCCCTCGCCTGTCATGAAACGCTGGGCCAGGCCCTTCGTCTAACCTTCAACTTGTCCCATCGGCTTGGCAATCCACTGCCCTGGGCCAGAAACACTTGAATCCAGGACCGAGTCAACCATGCAAACAAACAGGGGATTGAGCTCACGATGCATCTCGCAGCACTATAGGCAAGACATAGGCCAGCACGCTAGCGCTCCGAGCCTCAGCAGACGTTTGTCAGGGGATGTCATCCCACAAGCTTCTTTTCATGGTCCCAATTTCTGCGTATATATAAATAAATTTAAGCATAGGTTTCCCGCCCAAGATGTAGATCTTTTTTTTTTCTCCTAGTTAGGCACTCATTCGTCTTTCGTTTCATTTTCCTACTTTTTGTGCCTTTTGGTAACATTCTCGTCCAGATCCTTGTGCGGGCCATAAAGATCCCGACGTCCTCTCTTTCTTTCTTCCTATCAATATGCTCTTCCGCTCATTTGCCGCGCTCTCATGCGCCGCGGCTACTGCCTTTGCCCAGGGCCTCGGTGACAGCTCTCTGGAGAAGTTCACCGATTCCCTGACCTTGGACTATGCCTTTAGTCCCGTAAAAGAGGCCTACTGGACTGGCTTCCCTCACCATCGCCGAACTCCCTTTGCCGTCTCGCCCGATGGCCAATCTGCATACTTGGCCTATCTCGACTCGAGCGAGACAGATGTCCACGTCCAACAAGTCGACCCTTCGACTTTCACCGCCGTCGGCTCCGCCGTCACTGTCACCGGTGGCAAGGAGGCTGGAGGTCTCGTTGCCCACAATGATGGATTCGCCCTGTTGACCAACGAGGCTCTGCCTTCTGGCACGACGGATGCGCCTGCCGACAGCACTCCCGTCCCTGTCTTGTATCGTTTCACCGACGGCACCCAAACCTGGAAAACCTTCCTCGGAGGTCCCGGGGTTGATACCGATTTTGGTCTTGCCGCCTCTCCTGATCTGAACGGCGACTTGGTCTACTCGGAAGAGGCTGCCATGTATGGTGCTTACTTTGTCATCACAGCGTAAGTGTCACCACAGACGGACTGATTCTAGTTCCATCATTAATAAACCTTGGTATAGTTACACTGGCGATGCATCTGGACACTACGGAGATAGCATCAAGTACGTGACTGACGACGGTACTCTGACAACCATTTCTGGTGCTTCCAGCTCCTGGGGTTGCTCTCACAACACTGGTATCAGCTTTGAAGCTGCCGATGCCGCGCCATTTGCCAGTATTTGTGCCGAGGACCAGGGAGACATCTGGCTCAACACAGCGACGCAGGGTATGAGCGGTGTCAAGATTTCCAACGAGAACACCACCAACGGTGGCACTGGTGAGCCCATGGGCGGCATGAGCGGCTCCTTCAGCGGTCTTGCCCGTCTCATTGACAGCGACGCCTATGTCTCCGCCTGGGTCTCCCGCGGCGCCATTGATCTGACTGCCAACGAATGGATGGGTGACGGCTACACTGCGTGCTCGAACCGCACCAACGGCCGCAACGTCGCCATTGCTCAATTCTCTGACAAGAACACCCTCGTCGGCGACCAGGCTAGCTCCGTGGTAGGTGCTACTGATGGTGACTCCCAGATCAACTGGATCACTTCGGGCACGGCCGACTGCTCCAACGCTCACGTCGCCGCTTTTGACAGCTCGAGCGTCCTAGTTACCTGTAAGTGCAGCCTTTTTTCTTTTCTTTGTATCTCCTTGAGAAAGACATGCCGTCGAGGATATCAGTTTTTCTTCTTGTCAAGTTTGCTCATTAACTTCTGAACAGGGGAAGAGATCGAGGACCCCGACTGCCAGTTCATCGCCATGGGCTGCAAGGGCACTTTCACCGGATCTCGTTTCCAGCTCGTCACTGATGGCGCCAAGGTTGGCGAGCCTCTGGTTGAGACCGACGTTTACGTGTCCGGCGACATGGTCACTCTCTCCGACGGCAGAGTCTGCTGGCCCTATGTCAGCATGACCTGGGACCTTTCTGAGCCCGTCGCTTACAGTGGTTCGACCGCTTCTACCAACTCCATGTCCTTTGCTTGTGCGAGCATCAGCGGCAGCAGCAGCAACAGCACTAGCGGTTCTAGCACCACCACCGCTGCCGCTACTTCTTCTGCTACTGCCGCTGCCACTCCTTCGACTGTCGCAGTTGAGGAGGACGCCAGCAGCAGCGCAACCGTTGTTTCTACTCTCATCACCTCTGTCCGTTCGTCGTCCTCTGATAGTGCCGTGGCGACCACTTCGGACGCTGGGGCGGTGACTGGGGTCGAGTCCGCCACCGAAGTAGTCATCAGCGCCTCGTCGGTTCCTGTCGAGACGGCCACGGCAGCTGTCCCAACTGAGGCTTCTCCGTCTGGCCCGGCACCCACTGCATCGAGCGGCTTTGCCTTTCCCACGGGCAGCCGACCCTCGCACCCGCATGGGTCAGCTCGCCCCAGCCAGAGTGCTTTCCCTGGGTTCGGTAGCAACGTCGGTGGATCGGGCCACACTTGTGGTGGTGCCAAGAAGCGTGAGGTCTAAGTGGTGCTACCAGCACATGCGCATTGGGCCAACAGCAGTGTCCCCCATGTGACAAATCTAGTTCTCTGTACATACTTGAAGAAGTGAATAGTCAGTATAAATCAATATTCTCAGGAGCGTGAGAATGGAGTGCCGAGTCTCCAATGATGACGTTCTTCCAGGTCATGGATTGGTCGCACCAAGTCTCGAGATTACGCTTGTTCGAATACCTAGCACATCCAGTATGGTGTTTCTGTCGAGCAGCCAGCTTTTAAATTTCGAAAAGAGGAACTCGAGCGGCTTTAGCGCAGCCACAAAGAGAGACAGGCCGAAAAGAAGGGACGTAAAGATGAATATCTCTGTATGTGTTCATTAATCTATAGTTCAATTAGGTTCAATAGTGTCCAGGAAGGAAGCGTCTTTAGGCTTCTCCTCCAGATGGGATCCATCCAAGCCATCCGTCAACTCCGATTGTAGTAATCATTGGGCGTCATGGAGCCAAACAAATCCAAGTGCAAATTCTGAAACAGGGTATAATTCACACGAAAATGGGCAATTTGATGAGTGAAGCTGGGATCCCGATGCCAAATAGAAATCAAAATGCAATGGGCGCCGCCTATGCCTGGCGGTTATTGATGAATGCGTTGATGATGTGGTCCTTGTTGTGACCCTGTGATTCTAGGGTGGCATCTTCCTTTAAAGTCTTGCCCAGGTAGACGAGTCGCACTCGCCTGGTGCTTGGATCTAGGCCCGACTGTTGGAGCGCCCTTTGCGCAATAGACCGCACGCGCTCGTCTGGACCGACGCGCACAATGATGTCGCGGGCAGTCTCGCTGATTCGTATCCGTATCTTGGTCGTGGTTTTTGAGTCAACAACGGCTTTGCCCTTTTCCTCGCGGCGACGGAGAGCCTCCTCTTCGCCGATCTCCTCTGATGACTCGTCGCCGGTTCCTAGCTCGCCCTTGTGCTCGCCCTGTGCTTCAGCTTTGTCCTCGACGGTGATATTGACCGGATCTCTAACGATCCACTCGGGCAATGCATAATACTGGCCCAGTGAGTCGTACACTCCGTTGGCTAGATCTCCAGTTGGTAATGTAATCTCAACGGCCCTGAGAATGCCTTGGGCGACGCTCAAAACGGAATCGTCAGGGGACACATCTGTTTCGCCGCTTGCGCCGGGGGTGTTTATTGCCAGATCAGCCTCCCACAGTTCTCTGAGCGCCGCATGGACCGTCTGCCACACTTCTGGTCTTCCCGTCACGCGCGTGTCGAAAAAGTCCTGCCTCTCCTTGTCAAGCTGCGCCCTCGTCCATGCCCGGTTCTTGGCGGTCCACACATGCCAACGGAGCTTCTTGTCAATGTGCTGGTCGAGTGGCCTCTGGTCTCTCCGGCGCCTGGACGTCTCGGCAATGGAGGCGTGTGGAGCGAGTCGTTCACTCTGGGCGGCGGGGCCTAGAGACCCAGAGCTGCCGTCTTGCGCGGCAGCGGGCTGCAGACGAGGCGAGTTGATGGCACGGGAAGAGGTGGAGGGAGCGCCTCCGGGATAAGGGGCATTCGGGCCCCCAGGTCGAGAAAAGCAGCAACCCTAGAGACAAGGAAAGGTTGAAGCGCTGGTTAGCCAATGCGCCATGCCAAGGTCTGGCGACAAGACAAGACAAGACAAGACAAGACAGACAGACAGAAGGGAGGGTGGGCAGAAAAAAAAAAGATCAGGGTTCGAGCGATTAGCAACAGGGAAGGCAGAAGCGGGAGGCTGCCGCGAACGTAATGTCGCAGCAAGCAGATAGCAAGCAGTAACTTTGATGCAAGGGAAGAAGAGTGAACGACATAAGAAGAAGAAGAAAAACCAGGAACATACCATTGTGTGACCTGAGTCGGGAGGCTAGAGGGTGTGGTGACACATTATACAGACAGCGACGCAGTTGTTGGAAGGCGAAACATGTGTCGAAGAACGCTCTTGACAAGCACTCCCGAGATGGCTGACAGAATACTGCTGATGCTGCTGGTATTACGGATATTGATTGTCGATCGGGTCTCAAAAGCTCAGTGTGATTGATTGAGGCTCATGAAAGTTACTGTACTAACAGGCAGTGCTAGCGCTTGGCGCCCCCCGCCCCATCTCCGAGCTAATGCGGATATGGGGCCTTATTTTGGTTTTTCTACCAACGTATGTAATGTACATACTTGACCTATCTGCCATAAGAGGAACAAGAGCAGCAACAGAAACACGAAAGGACCCACCCTATTGACCAACACGACAAAACATAATGCGGGGATCATGATCCCGACACCCAACGGATCGATTAATGACTAATCACAATAGATGTTAGTCAAGTACTTGTATATTCATCGAGAAAATCGTTCATTTCGCAGGCCATGGATATGTGGTCTGCTTACATAGGTAGTCTAGGTGCTACCCACAGATTTACATGCGTCCTCGGACTCGGTACACGATGTAGGTCCTTGCTACCACATACATATCCAGTATATACCTTATATCAGGTCATCTGCTGATGATCTCGCTTATGAAATGAGTAGGTCCATCAAGAGGTCAATAAAAGTATCAAGGTAAAATTATTGAGGCCAAGGATCGCCGAGACACACTGTAGTCTTCCAAATTTAGTGAAAAGGCTTGAGAACTCTGCCAGGAAAACATGAGAGTCTCCCAACTTGAGAGGAGGGCGGGGATCCAAAACTCAAGTGGAACGTCGCAAGCAAAAGTCAAAGGGCTCAAGAACGACCTTTCCAGAAGAAGATGCAAATTGGCCGACGTTAAGGGTACGTATTGAACTATTAACAACTCAACAGGAAGATGACTGGTCACTTGCCCAGGGGCTTTCTGGAATTGGCAGCCAAAGTCAGCAGTGAACGGAAGCCGACCACGGCGATTTAGAAACGGAATTGCTCAACACAGGGAATTCTCACTTTGAATTGATGATATTTCTGGTAAATTTGACGCAAATGAACTTGAGGAATCTCTAAGTTTTCGAGAGTTCCGGCGATGGACCAAAACTCGGAAAGAGAAACGGCACCGGCACCTCGGCAGAAAATATACCACAATAGACGGATCCAGAGTCGAGTTGGAGTAGGCTAGTCATAAAATATCTGCATCCAGTGACGATGAACTCGAGGCAGCCCAAGACCCATTATCGGCCAAGAAGAGACACTGAGTAATTTCGCGTGCAAATGGACTAGCAAGGTGTCATTCGGGAGAAGACAAAGTGACAGCCACATTTCGTATATAGTCGGCCAATAGAAATCAAGTCATTAATATGTATTGATCATATGCTCATCTTGAGCAGAGGGGGTATAATTGCATCAAAGACATGATGAACACGTAGGAGGGAAAATCATAGTCGCACGACTTGACTACATCATCAACACAGTGATAAGCTCTAGTCGGCAATCAGAGGTCGATCATTTCAGTAGTCTTACTCGTCATCCACAAACTTGCTTGCTAGCTGACCAAAAATCGGGAGCTCGAATCTAGCATCAAGGTTAGTATGCCTTACACAACAACCATACGGAACAGACAAGAACAGACCTATCCAGGGTGTCTGCGTCCCGATACGCTTTCAATGCCATGAACGCCATGAGGGCGAGATCGCCGAGAAATATAATCCAGCCGAGGAATGTTGACCAAGAGAAGAGCAGATGGAGAACAAAGATGGCGGTAAATAGCAAGCTTGACTGCCAAGCATGGAATCTACAGTCATGGTGTAAGCTGTGAGTTGCATCGTATGGCTAATGTGCAGGCAATTTCATAGATCTGCATAGGAGACAACTCGTGACGGCAGACTGGGAAGTCATAATGGCTTGCAGCTTACCTCACATAATCACTCTTCCTCTCCAGAATCAGCATCACAATGGCACCCAAGGGCGGGAGTGCTAGATAGCTGGCAGCGGCCTCATAGTCGAGCCTAACGCCCAAGCTCGTGTCGAAGGCATCGACTCCGTATCCAGCCTCGTTTCCGTAACCACCTCCTGCATTGCTGCCACCCCCAACCGGCGCATACCCGCCCGGCAGAGTAGAGGTCCACTGGCGCTGTGGCTGCGGGTGTTGTAACGGCGGCGGAGACGCGACGTTGCCGGGGCGCTGGCGGTCGTAGGATATCCTCGGACTCGGAGATTGTGCGGGTGAGAAGGGCCGCGAGTGTTCCGGAGGAGAGGACTGGTATGGTGCAAAGTCCATATTTTCCCCTTCTCAATCTATTGGTGAAGTCGTGGCTCGCCTTCTCTTGGACCTTGCTCTTGTAATCGTGAAATTCGGCAGGCCCGACGCTCGGAGCCGGACTTGTGTGGAGGATGTCGAGGCGATTTCCTGTTGAAGAAAAATATCGGCCTGAGACTTCTGAGAGACGCTATGCAGAATCCGCGACTTGGCCGTCGATTAGGGTGACGTTGGTGAGTTATCTTCGGCGCCTGCCTCTGTATATGGAACGATGATTTGCAGGTGTAGAGAAAGTAAGTGGTGGTCCAATAAATGCGGCATGTACAAACTACGCACAGATCGAAAGCTGTCGCCTGACGCGCTCCGCCCTCCATCCCTGCGGGTGATGCGCCAAGCTTTGAGCTCACAGATGCAGGGTCCTGTGTCGACTTTCCCCCTCAACTAGTCCTAGTGCATTGAAAAGGGCATAGTCGCTGTATATCGTACAGAAAAGGTAGTTCGTAGCATCATAGCTTCAAAGTCCATGGGCAAGCAGCACAATTTCTTACTCGTCGCACCAGATAGGTTAGAGAACCGCGTCCAAACGCGCGATAGAGCTCTTGAGTATCCAACAATCTGAGTGTTCTGATATCATCACATTATCTACCTACGTAGTATTGCATGCCCAACACGGTCGGTGGCTTTGACCATGATCGGCAGCCGCCTCGTCGTTTCCGCGAGGAATAGGTCCCTAGGTGAACTCGGTGGTTTTCTAAGTCAGATCATAATTGCTTCTTTGCCAAGTGCAGTTGAATCTTTGAAATCATCTGGGTATGCCTAGTATTCAGCGAGACTTGTACACAAGCGCCTATTGTATGTTGGACCTGAAATGTTTGAGTCTCGTGTCTATAGCATATATAATGGCGTTCGTAATGTGGCCCATGAAAAAGCACGTCTTTAGACTAGCTCACAACCAGAAGACATGTCTGACATGTAGGGGAAGTAAGTATGCTCCTTCGAGCGTGTTGTGTTCTGATTTTTGTCTTAATTATACAACCAGAGGTATACATATAAATTTCACTCAACAGCATCGTACACTACATCGCCCTTTTAGCTTGCGTCGGAATTGGCCTCGCCTTCTTCCGTCTTCTTGGGGTTCTGCTCTTCATCCAACTGCGTCCTCCTGCTCTCGAGCGTGAGCCACAATCCCTTGCTGTGACCCTCCAGAGCAGTGGTAAGTCCCAATCCAGCACTGTGCAGCATCGACACAAGCTGGCTTCGGAGTCCGTCGATACCACCCTCGATACCACCGACCCACTTGATGCCTGCCTGATCAAAGGCTTTACCCTCGACGCGTCCACCAATCAGGATGAGCTTCTGTAGGCCAGACTGTGCTACCGGGTCATGGTATCCGGGGTTCTTCTTCCGTGTTGGCGTGGGAAAGTCTGGAGCGCTGGGCGCCAGAATCCGCAGCGCAGCGGCGAGATGCGCTGGGCTGACCGTGGGAATGGTAAGCGCAGCTACGGGCCCGGTGAAAAGCGGGCTCATCTGCGCATATGCCGTGTTGGGGTCCTCCAAATTTGCCTTCTTGATAGCCTCATACGCCGTGCTCGACAGATCATGTGTGTAGGCGTTTGACCTTCCGGCCGCTGCCTCGGCGTCAAAGAACTCAACAATTTTGAATGCAACGTCGAACATGCGCGTCCGCAACACTGTGAGCTCGATAGAGTTGACCGGGTCGACTGGCAGTGATTCGTTGGGACCGGCCACTGGTGGTGGTACTTCCGACAGAGCCTTTCGCAGCTCGCGACGGACTGCAGCCCATTCGACCGCCGTCAAATTGTTGTGTTGGAAGAAGAGAATCAGGGGCGTAGAGCGAAGGAGCGCCGTGTAGGCCCGGAGCACTTGTGATTTCCTGTTCTCTGGTCTGCGGGCAGACGGCGGCTTTGTCGGCGGTATGTAGTCGTCGGGCAGCCGCAACGCTCCTAATGGTATCGGAGAGGCGGCGGCGGCGGCGGCGTAATTCCTCGCCGGCACCGTGGTCTGCTGAATGCATGGGAGCGTGGCAGAGACCCTAGAGGTGGTCGTCGAGCCCTGTGGCCGCAAAGCCCGGCTCACGGCGCGGGCTGATGAGCAATTGAGTCGTGCAGGCATGATGATGTGCGTCTACCCGGGCGTGGGTTCGAAGAGCACAAGGACCGGACCCGTTCTGTATTGCCAGGAACTGATCACAAGAGACGGCGACAGCTTCTTCTGAGCTCTGGGAATTTTTGGAATACGGCCCGTGCACTGGGGATTGCATCGGAAGGTTGCATAACTGCGCCACAGCTAGGCATTTAGCAGCACCGAGAGTTATGCAGTGACTATGCTTGGATGGATCTCTTGTGGCTCTTTAGCGCCTCCGTTTCCACCTGAGCCTCAGGCCTGTAGCACCTTCTGTAGCTTTGGTGAGTGGCAGGGTCAGGTAAGGTCGACGACCCGCTAGTCTGGCGCGCAGTGCAGGGCATTCAGCGTCAGTTTTCATAGGGCTGCAAATCACCAGTAAAATCGCGGGGTTCTCTCACTGTACCTTACCTACATACTACTACTACACATGCTTTTTATTAGCAGATGCAGCCTGCAGTCAAACGAGAACAATTCGACCGTCTTGGTAAAAATAACATCCCGGCAGCGCCAATCTTGAAGGGAGATCTACCGGCAGTAACCACACCCACTCGCAGAATTTCCACCTCGGGGGAAAAAGTCATGATATTTGACTGCACCTTGCCTCTTGCCAGCTGCGCCTCACCAGGAACCCAAGCTCATTATTCATTCTGATTCAGACCGTTAAGTGGCTGTTGTGACTCACTGCCGGCTACCTTATTTCCAGTTGGGCACCACGCTTTCCTATTGCTGGTTACCACAGATTCAGAATCACAAACCTGAGGCTGCCATAAGTTCCTTGCATGGGTTTTATATCTTGATTCAAGGAACGTCGTCTACTTTGAGATCTGCCAAAGAGTTTCTATTTCATTCCTTTTGAAACGCCATTTGCGAAGTTCGCACACTGATCAATTCTCTCGCATGCGTTGTTGCTACCAACAAATACTGAGCAAACATCAACACAAAATCACTCGCAAAGTCAGATTGGACGTCAACGCTGCGTGCTTTCTTTCTGAAAACTTACTGCACCGTGGCAGGATAGCTGCTGATCCTTTGTTGGGACGGGGTTTTCTCACAAGCTGTTGCTTGCCCAAACGCACAAAACTGTATCGAAACACCATCCCCACTCTATTTCCTCGCGCTGCTCACAGCGCAACACAGCCAGCGATGGCCTCAGAAACCAAGGTTCCGTACGTGGCCCAAGACCCTCAAGAGATTCAGAATCTCGTGTCCAGCCTCAATGGGTCAACAAACAAGGGCAAGGGTGGTATTAAAGCAAAAAAGACCGTCTTCCCAGTCCATGACTCTCCGAATGGCATCAAAGTCGATTCTTGGAGATTCCAGGACTGGGACTACAAGAAACCCAACATGCCAACCTATGCCCGTGGTCTCTTCACTACCAAGGACAACCGCGGTCAGCATGAGATTGCCATTCGGGGCTACGACAAGTTCTTCAATGTGGGGGAGACAAACGACACCAAGTGGGAAAGCATTCGCTCCAGGACCCAAGGCCCTTACGAGCTTACACTCAAGGAAAATGGCTGCATCATCTTTATTGGCGGACTCGAGGACGAAACACTCTTGGTCTGCAGCAAACATTCGACTGGCCCGCGGAGTGACGTCGAACTGAGCCATTCAATGGCTGGTGAGAGGTGGATCAACAGGCAACTCGAGTCCATCGGAAAGACTCGTGCCGACCTTGCGCGCGAGCTCCGAAGCAGAAATGTCACAGCCGTTGCGGAGCTCTGTGACGATGATTTTGAGGAACACATTCTGGCTTATGGCCCTGAAAAGGCTGGCCTCTACCTTCACGGCATGAACATTAATGTGCCAGAATTTATGACCTATCCAAGTGAACTTGTCCAGAAATTCGCCGATGAGTGGGGTTTCCGCAAGGTTGATCTTCAGGTTTTCAACGATATCGACACGGTACAGAATTTCCTCGAGCGTGCTGCAGAAACGGGAGCTCACGAGGGTCGAGACGTTGAAGGATTTGTCATCCGATGTCGCATGTCATATGACCCTCAACGAACGCCATACAATGACTGGTTTTGGAAGTACAAGTTTGACGAGCCCTACCTAATGTACCGCCAATGGCGAGAGTGCACCAAGGCGCTCATTGCTGGCAAGCCGCCCAAGTACAAAAAGCATGTCAAAATCACAGAGGAGTATCTCCTCTACGCCAGAAAGCGCTTGGCACAGGATCCCAAGCTGGGAAAGTTGTACAATCAAAACCATGGCATCATCAAGTTGCGAGACGACTTCCTTGCCTACAAGAACATGAAGGGCTCCGAGGCCGCCAACATTGAAATGGAAGAAGACGATGGTGCCAGCGTGACCGATGGAGTTGTCATTGTTCCTGTCGCGACCATCGGCTGCGGCAAGACGACGGTGGCTGTCGGCCTGACCAATCTTTTTGAGTGGGGTCACGTCCAGAATGACAACATACAGGGCAAGAATCGTCCGGCTCAGATGGTGAAGCAGGTCATGCAACTTCTTGCTGATGGCCACCCGGTTGTTATCTCTGACCGGAATAACTCTGAACGGCGTGAAAGGGAGCAAATAATCAAGGATGTCAAGCTCCAACACGCTGGGGCAAGACTGGTTGCCATGAACTTTTCCCATGGTGACATTGAAGAAGTACGCAGAGTCACTCGGGAGCGCGTTCTTGCCCGCGGCGACAATCACCAGACGATCCAGGCGGCTTCCGAGGAAAACAAGGTCATTGGCATCATGGAGAATTTTATTCACCGCTTTCAACCGTGCGATCCAGAAAATTCCCCCGATGATGGCTTCGACTTGGTCATTGATCTCGATCCATCAAAGGACAGCCGTGCCAACCTGGAGACCATGGTCAGCGAGCTACACCAAAAGTACCCCCGTTTGGTGCCAGAGGTGCCAAGTGCAGAGGATCTGGACGAGGCGATAAAGGCTGCCATAGAGAATTACAAACCAGACATTCGCCACAAGCTTCCTGACCGAGGAGCCAAGAACAAGCACAACGGCGGCCAGCAGCAGCAGCAGCAGAGAGTGCAGAAGAAGAAGCCTTTGGAGTACATGTCCATCTCGGTTCCTGCCAAGGACGTCAACACTATTTTGGAAGCGGCTTTCAAGACCACCGATCCTGAAACTTCCAAGTTCTACAAACAATTGCAGCAGACCAGACGCGTTCAGCCTCAGTTTCACGTCACACTAATGCACCGCGCCGCCTCTAGAGATCATCCAGAGCGATGGGCTGAATTCGTGAAGCTTGAAGAGCAGAGTGCACCAAATGATGGGCGCATTGCCGAGTGCGAAGTTGAACTTGAAAGGGTCAGTGCCATCACGTTGTCGTAAAATTATACTTCTATTGGACTAACTTACGAGCAGGTTGTCTATGACGATCGCGTCATGGCAATTGTTGCTAGAATTCACGACCCGCAATGGGCAAGCGTCAACCCGATCGCTCATGTAACAGTTGGCACTCGTGACCAGAGCGTCAAGCCCAAGGAGAGCAATGATCTCTTGGCGCTGTGGGTGCAAAATGGTCCAGGAAACGGCATTCGCGAGCGGGCATTCGAGCCGAAACCTGTGCTCAAGGGAATCGTGCGAGGAGTCCTTGCGCGTTAGAATAGAGCAATGTCTTTGCAAAAAGTCCAAGGGGGAGAAAAAAATGATAGACTCTTGTAAGGAGATGCCCACGCCAGCCTGCAACTAATGTAGTCGCCGTCGCAGAAGCGATCCTGCGTTGGGGTATTTTAAATCCATTTCGAGCAAAGAGCTTGACGGAGTATAGTCTAATGGAGAGACTGTAGTACGGAACAAAGTGGTTGAAGCATCATCATGCGGTCTTTCTAGGAGCAGATCATAGCCGGTAGACTGACGTATGGTTCTCGTTGAGAACTCGAGCAAAAAAAGCAAATTTGATGATTGAATGGCCCACTACATATTCACAAGCAATGCCGCCGGTTCATGGTATACGACAATCAGCCATGAGACCATGGTTTAGCTTGAGAATGATTCAACTTTTATGGGATATCTAATTATACTTCGTGGAGCGCTCGCTGCCCCTGCAAAGCCTGCATGCTAAGAAGTATCATCTACATTATCACGACATGGTGAAGCTATTGGTTACATCCACAAAGCTCTCCCACTCCTTCCAAGCCTCGCCGCTCTTGATGGCCCAACGTGCTCTTCTCACACCCTCCTTCCAGCGGCCGTTACCTGGGCCACGCTCCGTGATGACCTTGCCATCGTCGCCGGGGGCCATATTGCTTGTGTCAGCATCACAAATGCCGCTCGTCACAAAAAGGGCAGCTGTGTTGATGAGGACAAACTCCAAAATGGGGTCGTCATCGGGCATCTCGTTGGCCAGAATCTTACGCAGAATCTCGGCGTTCTGGTGTGGCTCCTTGCCTGGCGAGACGGTGTTTAGAGGATGCCTAGACAATCCAAAGTCTTCTGGTGTTAATCTAAAGTGCTCAACTTCAACCACGCCATCGGGACTCTGCACCAGCTGCCAGCACAGAGACTCGCCCGCGCAGGAGATCTCATCCAGCTGCTCGGCACCACAAACGATCAAGCCCTTGGTGCAACCCGCGAGACGCAGGGCTTCTGCAAAGATTGGCCCCATGTCATCACGGGCCACGCCCAACATGCGCACTTCAATGGCGTCGTGTAGAGGGTTGCTCAGGGGTCCGAGCAGGTTGAAGATGGTCCGCCAACCGAGCTCCTTGCGGATGGGCGCCACGTACTTCATTCCGGGATGGAAGACGGGAGCGAAGAGGAAGGCATAGTTTGTCTTCTCGTACACCTCGGCGATTGTGCGAGGTGTGATGCGTGCCAAAGGCGCAGATCTCGGGGTCATGCACATCAGCAAGTCGGCCGAGCCAGACTTGGAGGTGGATGCGCGATTTCCATGCTTCCCCATGCGTAGAAGCGTCGACGCTAGAATGGACGAGGTGGTTGAAATATTGAAAGTGTTGTGAGAGTCGCCTCCTGTGCCGACAATGTCACACTTGAGCATCTCGCGTGTCAGTCTTGTTTTCCATGAACCTCGGCTATGAAGTTGCAATCAATGGCAGTAAACTCACCAGTCCGCCATAGTAGCGTCCTTCTTTCCTTGCTTTCCTTTGCACGACCTCGTTCAGAACCTTGAAATCAATGGGGGCCGAGGCGGCGCGCATGGCAGCCGAGGCTTCGGCCAGGACGTCTGCCCTCCGGTCCCATCCGGTGAAATGCAAGGCGGTAAGAAGTGAGCCCGTCTGGACTGGACTGAGCTGGTTTGTGAAAATCAGGCCGATGGCATCGGCGATTTCCTTTGCGGTGACCTGAGATGCTCCCGGATCTGGCCACAGTCTCTGCAGCAGCGGGCGGATGTCCACCACGACCGGCTCATCTTGTGCTGAGATGGAGTTTGGCTGCGGTAATGTCCCAGACATCTTTGCGTGGGGGGAGGAGACTATAGTAGCACAATGAGAGTTGGCACTTATGGGCGTGCGTATATCGGGAGTGGGCACGAGAGTAGGTACCACGTGTGTGGTGGTATGTAGTAGTATATGATGCTGTGCTTCTTATGAGCGTTGTGGGTAAACTCGGAGGATGATGAGTCAACTGCGAGAACGGCGCAAGTGAAAGTGAGAGACAGCTTGGGAGCTACCTAGAGTAACTGAAAGCGAAAACTGACGATTGAAGGCCAAGCAAACCAATTTATGGATCCTCTAGAACAAGAAGATAGTGTATGATGGCTCATGTGAAGAAGAATCAATAAAATGACTGTACGGGTCTGAGCTTACTATGCTTTCCAAATAGAGCTCGTTTGTAGCTGACATCGGTTGCAGTCAATGGATTGGTGGGATTGGGATGGGAAAGTGCAATGTCATCCGATCCACATACCCAACAACAACCACAAGCGCTTCGCGGGGCAAGATTTCAGCTTGCGTCTTGGGCTATTAGCGGTTCAATTGATTGGGGGCGGTAAAACATGGCATTAAGGTACCTGAGAGGGTCCCTGAATCTGCGGAATTTTGCCCGTTTCGCGGGGTCAATCAACGATTTTCATCGATCCCCGCGTCATTGGAGGGGTCGCAAAACTTCAAGCTAATTTTTATTATCTATACTACTAAATTTTTATTTTATTTTTTTGGATGCTTTGCTCAATCCCAACTCCCCCTTTGAACAGAATTATCGCGAATCGCCACGGCCATTATCAATATAAATTTCTCGCAAGGAGCAAAGTAGCGATTACTGCATTCATTGAGATACCTTGACCTCAGCTATGGCCAGTAGCAACCCATATCTTCTCGCCGCCGATAATCCAACGGCCCTCATCACTCTTCTCCAGGAAAACCCAAGCTTGGCCTCTGGTCAAGACGAGCATGGTTATTCCCTTGTCCACGCCGCCGCGAGCTACAATCACCTCGAACTTCTGCGCAGCCTGGTTCGCGACTTTGGCGTTGATGTAAACCTGCGCGACGAGGACCAAGAGACCGCCCTCTTTGTCGTCGAGACCGTTGAGGCTGCCCAAGTGCTAGTCAACGAGCTCAAGATTGATTTCCTCGCCAAGAACGGCGACGGCCAGACTGCCAAGGAAAAGATCCTCCAGGAGGGCGATTTTCCCGAAGTGGCCGAATATCTCAACACCGCCGAGCCCAGCCGCGAGGGAGATGGGCCCAACGGCGCTGGCATCAACGGACATGAGAACGACCTCCCTCAGCCTCCCCAGGGTATGACTGTATCTATGGGCACCATGGCCCCAGTTGACGATAACGATGCCGAGATCGATCCCGAATTCCGGAGACGCATTGAGGAGCTGGCTGAGCGGGAGGATTTCCACACCGAGGCCGGTCAGGCCGAGCTCCGCCAGCTCGTCCAAGATGCTGTCGCTGGTCGCAATCTTGGAGACCGCAATGTCAGGCAAAGACAAGAATGAAACCGGTGACTGATTATGACAACATTTGTTCTCCCTCACTCGTGGCCATGAATATCCCAGAGGAGGTATTCACCCGGAGCACCGGGTAGCCGGAGGATTGTACATTCGGAGCTTTCGCCTTTCACGCCCTTTCCAAAGGACGCGGCATGTAGCGAGAACCACGAACGGGAAGAGACTGAGAGGATGACGTCCACCAGTACCTGTCTTGCCCAGCCGGGAGCAATGAACCCTTGCCAGCTGATCTTGCACAGCCTCGATGAATCTACCTGACCATGTGCTGGAACCGAATACCGTGATAAGAACGGGTCAATATTGTCGCCACTTTCCACTCTTGGGCTTTTCAGTCTCAGGAGCGACAGCCATTCGTAGATCTCTGTTGCAAAGTCCTCGAGCTCCAATCGGCCGTCATCTGTAAGAGCATGGCCTGGGATCTTTAGAGTAGGTGTCTGAACATCCAAGTCCTCTTCCATGAAAGGTGCAGAGCTATACTTGGTTGGAAAGAAATTGAGTAAGGGATCAGGGTCGGGAGCTGGGAATTCATTAGACATGGTCATGTTTAGAGGGTGGCGTCGAAAGATCTTCGTGATAACTCACTGCTCGATTGGCGATGAAACAGCCAGGTAATTGGTTGATCGAATACATTTCTGCAAGCGTACAGCAATCGATCGTATCCTTTCTTTCCTGGGAAACTTGCAGGTGCTCTTAAGTCATATTGAACAACTAGACTTGTGTGTTAGATCGCTGCGTTGCCGCTACTTGTACCTGTTGTCTGACTCACCCCACCTGGGTTTGAGGCCACGCTTGCCCTTGACACCATGAGGCTGGCCTACGAGGCCTGCTCTCTCGTATGCCTCCTTGTCGAGAAACATTGTGAGTATACCTATGTCGTGGTGAGCGAGTGTCGAAACTTCAATCAAGAAAAGAAGAAGAAAGGTATGCACAAAACGACTTACCATCCCTGAGAGAGAAGACATTCTCCTGGCTCGTGTTCCCATTGGAAAGCATCATGATGCTCCCTAATTTGATGTTTTGTGTGAAGAAGTCACCATCGAGTATATCAGCGAGCTTCATGATCACGCGATAATACGTAGGCGAGTAGGTCTCTTGTGCAAGCTTGATCCTCAGCTTATCTGCTGCCTCTTGCGGAAGTATAAGATCAACCTGGAGGCTGTCAATGTGGGCTTCAATGATTTGGTAGATTAGTTGCAAACCTTGTGAATAAAATCTTGAGCCAGGAGATTGGCCCATGGCTTTCCTTTTGAGGGCAGCTGCTTTGGCTCCGGGTGAGTCAACGTGCCATAGGTGAAAAAGCATTTTGAAGATTGATAGACGCTAGGCGTTGGAAAGGACATCATCTTGAAAAATTAACAGGCATCTGCCAGCGGCTCAAGATTGGTTTATGGGCAGATTGGAAATGGTTGTGGTCTTTGAGTTTTTCTCCTTGACAAAAAGACTGGTACCTAGTACCTACACGTAGATACTAGAAAGAAAGATGGGCAGGCACAAATTATTATGCACCAAACGCGGCGGATGCTTATATCGTGGCTAGGCAGAATACTGATTGGCCCACAGCAAAATGCATCTACTACTACTTCTGTGGCCCGACTCGGGAAAATCGAGGGACGCCGCGAATATATTCTGCAACTAAAGGATTTTCCCCCCCTTCCCTTCTTTTCTCGTCTTTGGTTGTACGAGTCAACGAGTGTCACGGTTTTGCTCTTGACCCCCAACAGCTTCAATCATAACCCCCAACAATCACTTCAAAAATATGGTAGAGGCGATCACTTCCCAAGTGTACTAACAGCCATGGAATACCTTATCCGATTCAGTCAGTCGCATGAGACGTTCCGTTTGCCTGAAATCCAAGCACTGGCCGAGCTGGGTGGAATCGACCTGAAAGTTCTTTACTATGATCCGGAAGTGAGTTGTCGTCGGCACAATGCACATGAGTATCTGGTTATCGATTCTCTAATTTAATTCTGCTTTTAGTCTCCATACTGCATTGTCCAACTCCCTGCGGAAGAGGCTGCTCGTTTTCTCATGAGCCGTTCTATTTTGGCGCAGAGCATACACGAGCACTGGGGCACTGGTGACAACTATGAAGAGCTTCACGAGGACGTCAAACGGCGCACATCGCACCTTTGGTCAAAGTACATGCAATGTAGTTTCAAATTCAGTCTAGACATCTTTCAGGGTACCAGATCCAATACCAACAGACGCGAGATCATGAACTCATTTGCATATCTCGCATTTGCTGGCGAGATCAAGATGACCAATCCTGATGAGGAATTCATCATCTTTGAGCACTGGGACTTTCAAGCCGTGACACGGAAGCTTCCGGCGCCCCTGAAAGTACATTTTGGTCGCTTTATTGCGAAATCTGTTCGAGATTTGATCATGACTTTTGATCTCAAGAAGCGAGGATATATCTCGACGACTTCCATGGATAGCGAGTTGGCTCTGATCTCGGCCAACATGGCCCTTGCTGGGCCAGGAAAAGTCTTCTATGACCCTTTTGTTGGCACTGGCAGCTTCCCAGTGGCCTGTGCCAAGTTTGGCGCATTAGCACTCGGCAGTGATATCGATGGACGGAGCATCAGAGGCGAGAGTGAAAAGAAGAGTTTGAAGGGGAATTTCAAGCAATACGGCTTGGAACATTTGATGGGAGAAATGTTCGCCAGCGACCTCACGCATACGCCAATTCGCAAAGCCAGGATCCTCGATGGCATCATTTGCGATCCGCCCTATGGTGTTCGGGAAGGGCTGAAAGTCCTCGGTGTCAGAGATCCAATCAAGTATGGATATGTTATAGAAAAGGGAAAGGAGTTTTACAAGTAAGTCGGTTCCAGACGGGGGAAACCGGATTGCCTGGTTTGTTATCGATCTGACTGAGACAGGAACGACGACTTCGTACCACCCAAGAAGCCATACAGCTTCAACGCCATGCTCGATGATATCTTGCAATTTGCAACAGATAGGCTTGTCGACAATGGTCGGCTTTCCTTTTGGATGCCCACTGCCAACGATGCAGACCAGGCTATCGACGTACCCACCCATCCCTGTATGGCAATCGTGTCTGTCTGCGTACAAGTGTTCAACAAATGGTCAAGAAGGCTCATCACGTACCGGCGGTTGCCAGACTCGGAGATCGACACCGACGCGTTGGCACAGAGGCAGGAACGCGTGCAAGCAAACGGCGTCACAGCAGACGAGCTGAATGATTTCCGGCGACACTACTTCAATGCGTTTCGAACGGATTCTGCAGTTGATCAAGCGCCAGACGATGCGACGCCCAAGATAAGCGCTTGAAGCATATAATGTTTGATACTGGGCACCATCATCATCCCAACGTTTATTTCATGATGGTCGCCATCTGCTTACGATACAAAAAGAAGCAGTAAACAAGCCTCCAAGCACGAGGCCGCGCGTTTTATGGCACATCTCAGCCGTGGTGCTTGGGCACTTTTTGCAGCTTCAAGTTAAGCCTAAGAAAACAAGTGCCGGAGTCTGCGACATCGTCGGCGGGCCGTACCAAGCCCTAAATCACATTAGAGTATGCCGATGCTCCGGGTATGACGACGGGTCAGACAGGGAGGCAGTCAGAGAGAACCCAAACATGCGGGGGGTTCCTCCTTGCCACGTAAGAATAAGAAGCTTCTTTGGCGGGTATGTCGGGGCAGCTGCACGCTGGTGAGCGACCGAGTAGACTTCTGACTCTTTACGGAACCTGATTGAACTTAATTTGACCATATTTGTGCATGTAGGTCTGCTGCTGCATTCGAAAATCCCTTGCACGTAATACGAGTATGGCCGGCATAGTAATAATGGCACCAAGGTAGCTAGGTACCAAACCATATTTTTCACGACCAGACTTTTAGTCAATTCTGGGAGCTGGGCACTTGACTGTTTTACTATGCGTATATATCTTCATTCAAGCATTTCGAAACGCTGCAAGACATATTTTGCAAGGGCTCCTGCTTTGGTTGCTTGCAACTTGCCTTGCTTGCCTGCCTCTCTACTTTTTGGTGAGAATCATTGAATCAACGATGTCCTCTGGTTGAGGGACGGCACGGTTTGAAACCCCCCCACGGACTGATGCAGACTTTCTTCTATTACCATAAGCAAGTTTCGCTGGCGAGGGTTGCACGTCGTTAGTCGGTAGTTAACAGACGATATATATATAGGCGTTCATTTCTTTCGACGATTGATTATGTATACCTGTAGTAAAATCGTAATCAAGGTGTGAGATTTAGTCCCAACGTCAGCACCAACCTGGATTGATTATTGTATGCAACCTGGCACGATACCCCTTTTGTAAACACAGGGAGGACTATAACATACAGCGTGCAACCCGTATGAGAAGCACGAAAGTATTAGACTCGTGGCAGCTGGTCAGCAACCCCAGAAAGCGCCTAGAAAGAAAGATAAAACGGGTGGCTTGATGATGAGGAGACCACCTCTCCCCAACAGGTACATTACCTATTACTACCTGACGTTCGCCCTCGTCAGCGGATTAAACTTCCGAGGCGGCAACGTCAAAAGCGAACTTGACGTGACCTGGCAACAGCCTGAGGTTGCGGGTATGTACCGTAGGTAATAACGTAGGTGATTGATAGGTAATTGGGGCAATAGGATTCTATCAATCATTTAAATTGAAAGGGCATGTTGATTTGGGACAGAACCGACATGCGCGCGCACCTTTCTTTTCGTTGCGAATGGAGGCCGCCTCGAAAAAAAAAAGAAAAAAAAGAAAGGAAGAAAAAGAAAAGGGCCCTTTCGTTTCCTTTCCCCCCCTCTTCCCCCAAATCAATCCAAGTCCAAGTCCAAGTCCCCCACGACGTCAGGCGTCAGGCGTCATACCCTGACGCTACTTGAATCAGATTCTCCTTGGATCCTTCAGCGGGTCACAGCCATCATCCCATATCCCACGAGGTACGCCATGTAAATTCTAGAACCGGAGCACAGGTCTAACAAATGTATTCTTGTGATTAATTGATTCATTCATCCAGTCAGAGTCAGTCAGCAAGTCAGTCGGTACAGGCACAGACTCTTCAGCGCGTTACCAATAACGCGCCCAGACTCCATCTTGGCAATCCTCTTTTCGTTTGAATCTTTCACTCTTTTACAATCACGTCTTTTATTTCTTGACTGGTCTTGAATAGCACGTTTCCTCCCCCCTCGACGTCCCTGGCGAACAGCAGGGGCTCCTGTTATCTAATGTAGCCCAGCTCGGCACTGCGCTCTGCCGATCAGTCAGTCGCATCCAGCACTCCAACATCCCACCCACTATTCTTATTACATTACAACCGAGTTCTTCCACCTCTCCTCTCGAATCTGCTTGGACCTAGAGCCTTGCTTTAAGAGGACGGCCCGCTTGTAATTCTTCGCTTAACCCGACCCTGAAAAGAGTGAGCTAATACCTACCTTAAGGGTCGGTCGGGACCCAAAAAGCTTGGAGCACGACCTCGTTCATCGACCCGTCGCCGCTGGACCCAGCACTCGCCGATTGCGCATCGGCTTTCCCAACGACAGACAAGTTGCTGCTACGGCTTCTCATTGCGCAAGATTGTTATCTTCTACGCTGCAGTCGAGCTCTCGCCCGACCTTTTTGACGAACCATTTCACTTTTACCTCTTGATACTTGGAACCATTCCCTCTTGCATTATCATTCTGCTTTGCCGTTACAAAACTCGCCCCTTTCCTTGTGGCCTCAGAGCGCGTGGCAACGCTGGCTTTCTCTTGCGGCGACCTCCTGTATCATTTTAAGCTTCCAACGCCTAAGGGCCACTTGCCGCGTGCCCACTGCAGCTGATAGATTGCATACATACCTACATTGCTCCCCCCAGCCGGGTTCTACTATCGACAATGCCGACCCCATCAAGTAATCCGCCGCCAGAATTGCCACCTCGGTCGCACAGCTCCTCCTGCCCCGATGAACTGCGCGCATCGGCCTCATCCTGGCGGCCCGACAGTGACGGATTGGACGAGATGCACGTAGACAGCGATGCATCATCACGAGATCTTGTCAGCTCACTAGCTGGGTCCTCAGCAGCAACAGCAGCCGCCGTGGCCATGGCAGAAGATGTCGACATCATGTCCAGATCCAACTCTGAATCACCGCGACCAGACTCTAGGATTGGCGATTCTTCGACGCCGACACCTGAAAATGCAGAAATAGATGGTCCTTCACCATCGAGAGGTAAAGTCATGGGTCCAGAGCATGATCTCGCGACACATGCCGAACCACTCAATTTACGCACGGAGCGCGGTAGCTCGGCTTTCGACATGACGTCTCCAGCGAGCGCAGATAGCGATAAGATAGACGATATTGTGGTATCGTCGCACGGCATGTTGCAGGACGACTATACTACTCCGTCCATGGGTTACGAATACTCAAACGTCAGGGTATGCATACCTCCCATGGTGCATTATTTGCCTTTCTGCCCATGCCAAGAGGATTTCGCCATTAACATCACTTTGCAGTTAATACCGACCACAACTTCTTCGTACTTGCGACCGGGTAGCAAATTCCACGGCACGCAACAGTCTGAACGGCAGATTTATGATGTTCAGGTTGAAATCAAATACGTTGACTTGAGGGAATCGTCCCTGTGTGGATATCTCAGGATTCAAGGTTGGTTATAATCCGCCCCTGGGAAAAAAAAAAAAAAAAAAGGGACATAGGGTGGCGTACATTTTCTACTACATACACGTTTACCTACCTACCCGTCTACATTGCAGATGCGGCTTGCAGCTAACCACTCAACCCTTAACAGGCCTGACGGAAGACAACCCCACCCTCACAACCTTTTTCGAAGGCGAGATCATCGGCTCGAAATACGGATTTCTGACCAACCATCCAGACTGGGGCGCAACTGACAAAATTGACGTCTCCCACTGGAACAAGTTTGCTGCCTTTAGACCATACGCCAAGACGGTCCGCAAGGGTGGTAATATCGCCATTCCCAATCTGGGATCCAAAGAAAATATATTTATGCGGTGGAAGGAGCGTTTCCTCGTGCCGGATCATCGCGTGAGGACCATTAATGGGGCTAGCTTTGAGGGCTTCTACTACATTTGCTTTAACCAGAAATCTGGGACTGTCAGTGGTATTTATTTCCATGCAAAGAGCGAGAAGTAAGTCCCCGCATGATGGCCGCATTGGCTTATGATGGACAGATGGAATGCTAACGTTTGTAAATCAGGTTCCAGCAGCTGGAGCTCAAGCATGTCGAAGACAAGGGCTGTTTTGGAGCTTTGGAATTCAGGTGAGCCAGCGACTGATGACACCGTACACGAAAATGGGACGTGGAGTTTTTTTTGGTCGTTGGAAATCCAAAGCATGAGTACACGTCCATCAATGACACGAAATGAAGATTTTTGCTTGCAAGTGGCTGCAAGGAGGATACCAGGACAGGTATTTGCCCAAACATCACAATCATACATCACGATCTTAAAGGGGTTCGGTCAACCGCACTTCCGAACCTACGACACGGGCATAATAGTTTGGCGATGAGCGATGAGTATTTTGAAATATCATATTGGGTCAATCATCAGCGGCGCTCTTCTCTTGCTTGGCGCCATGGGTATATTGTACCTTGCTGTGGCACGGTATCTAGATTAACGGGCCAGGTCAGAAATTGGTCTTGCTGGCTCCTCGATGTACATTATTCCACAAAACGTGTGCGAGGTGTGTCTCTGCACTCCAATATTGTCGTATCTGTTCCGAGCAATTTGTGGATGTATCCCCCATGCTGTGAGCCTCAAGCAATGCCAATTCCTCGCCGACATGTCTCGGTGGGAATGATTTTGAACGCCGTTTTCCAGTGCACTTCGTTTCTTGCAAAGCCGGCTATTCATCACGAGATTGGCTTGATCTTAAAGTGCAGCGAAGTGAGGCTGAAGACGAGCGCCTTGAGATCTTGCACCAGGTAGTAAAAGACACGCAGGCCTTCGGGATCCGAGGACTCGGTGACATCGATGAGAGAGCCAATTTTTGCCGTCTGTCATTTCCGACCCATTTGTGTTAGCTTATAATCAAAACTCAATCGGTCGCTTCTAGAATTTGTTCTTTCATAGGGGCGCACTGGGCGGCGGTACATACCTCGAAGCTAATGTGATCACTCCCGAGACGGATTTCGAGCTCCTGGCGGCCGTCCTTGTTCTTCTGCGGCCATTTGGCGTCATCTTCCTTCATAATCTCGCTGGACTTGACGATGCGCCGAATCTCATCGACGACCAGGCTCGATACGCACATTTCCTTGCGAATCAGGCTGTCGTTACGGTAGTTGCTATTGTTTGCGTACCGGGCCACTGCTGAACGGCCGTCGCCGACTACGCGAATATCGAACTCGAGGAACTCATGTCCGAATCGACCGCTGTGTCCCGAGCTGTTTGCCTTGAGGTTAGCAACGCGGGTCTGATACGATCCCAGGAGAGGTGGGGGAATGGTGATCCTCTTCTGATGACGTACTAGTATCGCAGGTAGAATGGCTCGCCTGACGGATTTGACATCGTGCCGATATGCTGTGGTGAGCTGTTCTCGTTTGTAGATGCTGGCAATGGCGGTTGCTTCACGTAGAATAGCAGATAGGCACTTGGCGTGCAAGTTCGTTGATAATACTCGTTATAGCGATAAAAAGTGCTTGTCTCGCGACTTGGATGGCGGGGCAGAAATCAGCCTTGTGGGAGCGGTCAGAGCTCCAAGCTTTTAGGTACAGGTAAATAAATGTACGTGTACATAAGTATCACTTCTTCTATAGTAGCGAATGTATTGCCGTTGCCAATCATACGGGTACAACGAGTTGTCTGGTGTGATAAAACGTGGGGGACTTTACTGAGGCTCGTGTGCTGCAAAGGCGCAACCCGATGCGCCCCCGTTTCGTTGAGGGATGTGCTAGAACCCCTTGGACTTGAACAAGCTACAGGCCAGAGTCTACAGGCCAGGTCGCTGCGTATCTGAGATACAGGCACCTTAGGTAGGTACCTTAACTGGAACGACACACACCCAAAAACTGAGGTACCTAACCCCCGGGGCCCATACACTGAGCCCATGGTGGTGGAAGGGACCTGACGGCGGCTGCCCGTGGTGGTCCTTGATCGGAACCGGAGAAACCAACACTCTCTAAGCGTTCCGAGCTGCAGTGGAGCTGCAGCCAGTCTACTCTGTATGGAACCTGCCCATATGTACAGTGTACAGTGGTACACCCAATCCAGGGGAGGGACAGCACATCCACATCTCATATTGGAAGTGTGGCATGTCTGGTCCCAGGCTTAATTCGATGCTGGCCATTTGACTGACGGCTTGCCAACGAGAGAAACACTTTTTCCTGATCAGCCCCCAACGCCAGAAATCTTCTGCGCCGATTACACGACTTTCTTTGACCAGGGAATGCAAAGCCGCATTGCATTCTGAGTTTCATAGAGAAGGGCTGCCTTTCTCAATCTCCCGACCCCCCAAAACCCCAGCCCATTCGAGCTAGCAGCTGTGCCTGTGTCTCTCTGTACCTGGCGCAGTACACCGATCCCCCCATTTACAGACTACGTGGACACATAGCTTCCGGCAACGAACATCCCACGAATTGGGCAATTGCACCTCCGCAAACCGCAAAGCCCACGGCGACGACTTGAACTTGTATTCACATTAGTCCAACCGATACCCTGAGATTGGCGTAGCGGTCGTGTACCGCCGCCCCTCCCCCCTGACCATCATGGCGACCTTCCTCGAGAATGCGTACAGTTTGGTCCACCAGGACAATGCTGCCGACGTGCCTTCGCAGCAGGACCTTAAGAACCAGCTCGTATGAAACAATGCATTCTGGTCTATGACTCTCGGATCGGTTCATGCTGACGGCGTACTAGGAGCGTGGAACCGACGAAAGCAAGTGTGATACCATGAAGCGCATTCTCACAATAATGTTGAATGGAGACTCGCTACCTGGGCTGTGAGTTGCTACTGGCAGTCCTCGATTATTAATGATTCGGACGACTGATCCTGTGTAGGCTTATGCACATTATCCGTTTCGTTATGCCCTCCAAGTACAAGCCGCTCAAGAAGCTCTTATATTTCTACTGTAATCGCCCCTTACGCTCTGCTTCCTATACCTCTACCCAAGCACTAACAAGATAATTAGACGAAATCTGCCCCAAGTTGGACGCCCAAGGCAAGCTGAAACAAGAGATGATCTTGGTGTGTAATGGCATTCGTAACGATCTTCAACACCCCAACGAGTATATCCGTGGAAACACCCTGCGGTTCCTGTGCAAGCTTCGCGAACCCGAACTGATCGAGCCTCTCCTCTCCTCTGCGCGGTCTTGCCTCGAGCACCGTCACGCATACGTCCGAAAGAACGCCGTGTTCGCCATCTCATCGATCTATATTCACTCGCCCTCGCTCATCCCCGATGCTTCTGAGTTGATCGCCGCTTTCCTGGAGGGGGAGAGTGACGCCACCTGCAAGCGCAATGCCTTTTCTGCTCTTGCTAGCATAGATCACGACAAGGCTCTTGCATACTTGAGCCAGGTCTTTGAGGGCATCGCCAACTCGGAAGAACTCTTGCAGCTCGTGGAACTTGAGTTCATTCGCAAGGATGCTGTTCAGAACTCGCAGAACAAGGTAAGAAGATTCAAACATGTTGAATCCGGATGGTCTCCTTGCTTACACCCCTGAAGGCCCGATATCTGCGCCTTATCTTCGATCTACTCGAAGCCAACACTTCAACTGTGGTATACGAAGCCGCCTCTTCCCTGACCGCGCTTACTTCAAACCCCGTAGCTGTCAAGGCGGCGGCCGCCAAGTTCATCGAGCTCAGCATCAAGGAAGCAGATAACAATGTCAAGCTTATCGTGCTCGACCGCGTTGATCAGCTGCGCCAGAAGAACGAGGGTGTGCTGGATGATCTGACCATGGAAATACTCCGCGTTCTCTCCAGTCCCGACATTGATGTGCGCAGAAAGGCTCTTGGCCTTGCTTTGGATATGGTCTCAAGCAAGAATGTCGAGGAAGTTGTTTTGTTGCTGAAGAAGGAATTGTCCAAGACCGTCGACGAGTCCTACGAGAAGAATGCCGAATACCGCCAATTGCTCATCCATTCCATCCATCAGTGTGCGATCAAGTTCTCCGAGGTGGCACCGTCGGCTGTGGAGCTCCTGATGGACTTCATTGCAGACTTTAGCAACACGACAGCTGTTGATGTCATCAACTTTGTCAAGGAGGTGGTTGAGAAGTTCCCCAAACTGCGCCAGACCATTATTGAGCGGCTGGTCGCCACTCTCGGCGAAGTGCGCGCTGGCAAGGTCTACCGTGGCATCGTCTGGATCATTGGTGAATACTCACTAGAGGAAAACGACATCAGAAACGCCTGGAGGGGCATCCGGGCCAGTCTTGGCGAGATTCCTATTCTTGCTTCGGAACAACGGCTTCTCGACGCTGGCGATGAGGAGAAAGCAGAGGAACAGGTCAACGGCCATTCTAAGCCTGCGCAGCCTTCTGGCTCGCGACGGGTCCTGGCTGATGGTACATATGCTACAGAGACGGCTCTTACTAGCTCAGCCGCAGCTGCGGCCAAGCTTGAGGCTGTCAAGGCTGCACAGAAGCCTCCACTGCGTCAACTTATCCTTGATGGAGACTACTATCTGGCTACTGTCCTCTCGGCTACTCTTACCAAACTGGTCATGAGACACTCCGAGCTTTCTCAAGACACTGCTCGATCCAACGCATTGAAGGCGGAAGCAATGCTGATTTGCATTTCCATCATTCGTGTTGGTCAGTCGCAGTTTGTCAAGGCTCCTATTGACGAGGATTCAGTCGATCGAATCATGTCTTGTGTTAGATCTCTAGCTGAATTCTCTCAGAAGAAGGAGTTAGAAACTGTCTATCTAGAAGACACACGGAAAGCCTTCCGTGCCATGGTCCAGGTTGAGGAGAAGAAGCGAGCCGCCAAAGAGGCGTACGAAAAGGCCAAGGCCGCTATCCAGGTCGACGATGCTGTCCAAATTCGTCAGCTCTCCAAGAAGAACGCCGGCGACGGTGCCATGGAGATTGAATTGGATCTGGAGAAGGCTACTGGAGGTGATGCCCCAGCTGAAGATCTCTCGTCCAAGCTCAGTCGCGTTGTGCAACTCACTGGCTTCTCTGATCCAGTCTACGCCGAGGCCTATGTCAAGGTCCACCAGTTCGATATCGTTCTTGATGTCTTATTAGTAAACCAGACCACCGAGACTTTGCAAAATCTGTCAGTAGAATTCGCCACTCTCGGTGACCTCAAGGTGGTGGAGCGACCCACGACACAGAACCTCGGGCCTCACGACTTCCACAATGTGCAGTGCACAATCAAGGTGTCATCGACAGATACCGGAGTAATCTTTGGCAATGTCGTATACGACGGCGCCCACAGCACAGATACAAACGTTGTCATCTTGAATGACTTGCACGTTGACATTATGGATTACATTCAGCCAGCTACTTGTACAGAGACGCAGTTCCGAACCATGTGGACCGAGTTTGAATGGGAGAACAAGGTCAACATCAACTCAAAGGCCAAGTCTCTGCGCGAGTTCCTGGATGAGCTGATGAAGTGCACCAACATGAACTGTTTGACTCCCGAGGCTAGTCTCAAGGGCGACTGTCAATTCCTCAGCGCGAACCTCTATGCCCGGAGTGTATTTGGTATGTTACTAGCATTCCTCTTTATAACATTGAATCGCAGGCCGATATGCTAACACTTTGACCATCAGGCGAGGATGCTTTGGCCAACCTGAGTATTGAGAAGGAGGGCGAGGACGGGCCTATTACTGGTTTCGTCCGGATAAGAAGCAGATCGCAAGGACTGGCCTTGAGTTTGGGTAGCCTCAAGGGGCTTAACAAGATTGGCTCCTCTTAAGATTTGGACAGGTTCATCAGTTGATGAAGCACTGAGAGACTGGCGAATCAGCATGACATAATGAAGTTGGTAGGAATCAACAGCCATATATAGGCAAGCAATGTAGCAGGTGGCAAAGGCGTGGTGGGCCATGGTTGTTCAATGGGATCGAACAGTCGAAAAGACCGACCTTGCATAGAGTGACTGCGGAAAAGGGGGGGCCACAAAAGCGTATCAATTTGCGGACATGCCATAATGTCCGGCGGTGGAACAGCTAGAACAAATGCACTGGTTATTATTGATGTAATGTTTTGAATGGCGTCTCGGCCTTGTTCCAAAAGACTGGTGGTGCTTGTATAGTCCAACTTGGATGATGTCCGTCTAACTCAAGCTGGTCGTACAACATATTTCTGTGTGGTTGCTACACTACTCAATCAAATCAAACTGGGGGCGCATTCTTGTGAGAAGTAGAAATATTGAAATGAAAATACACAATGTTAAGATGAGGAGGGCAGGCATTATGAGACAGCAGACGAAACCATGAATTCCGTATGCGCAAACGTGCTGTGAGGTTAACGCTGCCCCTGGTGTTGATGCCGAGGTTTGCCCGACGCGCCTTAACGTCATCCCAGCCCAGGGATAGACTACAGATAGATGGCAGCAATCACATACCATACAAACGGTGATACCTGCTGTGTATCCTCGGAACATTCCAACACTTGGAACGCTATTTGATGAAAAGATATCATGGAGCAGTCACAGCGCAGCGCGTTAAACCAAGGACACACGAGAAACCGATCGGGGGCAAGGCGTAAGTGAAACCTGCATACGATGGGAGGCGTCGATGTCATTGTTGGGGACGAAGCCAGTGATAGGCCAGATGCTGCTTATTGTACTTGTTTTGTATTACTGTCCAAGGTCTGCTTGCTTGGAGCAGCTACACACTGCATTGCACACATCATCTTTGAATGATAGCGGTCTCATGTGACTTTTCGGTCTCCTGTACCTTTTTGTTACTCGCATCTCTCTCGCTATAGGCGCCCATGACGGCCGGGTCCCAGAATTGTTCTCAAGACAGCAGCTGACATGTTCAACTTCCTAGCCTCCCGCCCTCGAGCGGTGACTAAAGGTCCGCTGGATCCTGACGAGTAGGTCCTCTATCCCGGTACTCGGATATACAGATGAGCAGGCTGACTCGGCCTTGAAAAGGGGACCTCTATCATCGCCGCGGTCCCCCCCGCCAGCACCAGCAGCGCGGTTCATTGCCTCGCAGCAAGCGAGCTCACGGACAAGCTCCCGGTCGCCAGCACGGTCGCCAGCTCCGTCGGCAAATATTCCCGTTGCATCACGGGACTTTTCACATCTCTTGCGTCCCGAGATCTTCCACCAGCTCACACCAATCACTGTGCCGGCCCCGTTTCGGAATCCCAGCAAGCAGCCGGCGCCGGAGACGCCCATCCCAGAACTTGTAGCAAATGGCCATTTCCGCGCAGCAGCCATTGCCAGTGTCCAGGCACTCACTAGCAGTCCCGTGTCGGCGACACAGGCAGCTGCACATCCGCCAGCCGACCCACATGACTATGCTCGCATCTTCTCGTTGCTATACACGCGCCTGGCTTGCTTGTGCCTGATCGACGCAGTCCCGCTCGCCGCTCAAGAGGCCAAGGCGCTGCAGGACTTGAACCAAGGCTTCTACCTTGACCCTGTCAGTGGCACCCACCTGATGCCCTGGGAACTACGCGTGCTCGCCACCCGCCTCCAGACGCTCGGATTCGGTGATCCCCGCCGTGCTGTCGTGAGCTACTACGACCTGGCCCGCGAGGCCCGCTTCGAGGTGCTTCGCGCAGGTAAATCGCATGATCAGACGGCCAAGGAGACGTGGAAACAGAGGCTAGCTGAGCTTGGTATCCGCGTTGCTGGGGCACTGGTCGAGATGGACGACCTGGCCGGAGCTGCGAGTCACCTGGCGAGTCTGAAGGAGCCGTCCTCGCTGGGCGATGGTGGACGCCTGGCTTTAGCCAAGGCGCTGCTTTGGTTGCACCTCGGCGACGTTGACGCCGCAAGACGGTGCGTACGAGACGGCAAGGCTGATCAGCTGGGTGAAAAAGTCATCTCTGCGCTCGCGGATATGGCGGATGGGAGATACGAGGCTGCTCTCGAAAAGTGGACAGCCTTGAAGGTGGAGCTTGACGAGAATGGAGTCGGAGACGAGATGGTCGCCGTCAATCTCGCCGTGTGTCTGCTATATCTCGGAAAAATGGAGGAGGTACGATCAAGTCATCTTCCTTTCTCCTTGTCGATTTTGTTTGTTTCTTTTTTCAAGCTAACTTGTTGCAGGGACGTGGTGTACTGGAAAAGCAAGTCAAAGAGGGCCAAACATCACATACTCTTCTTTTCAATTTGAGCACAATGTACGAGTTGTGCTCAGATCGGGCAAAGCAGCTTAAAATGTCTCTGGCCGAGCAAGTCGCGGACAAGGAAGCGACAGAGCACGGATGGGAGAAAACCAATGCCGATTTTAAGCTATGATGAGAAATACAAAGTAGACACGGTGTCAAAAGTATCTGCTGATTGCACCATGCGTTCAGAGGATTGGCGAACGGATCTTGTGCATCAAAAATTAATGTGGAAACAAGACTATAATGGTGTCTGCCAAGGGGTATGAACAATGACGAGGTTTCTCGGATATTCCATGTATATCTTGTCTACTTCTCTTTATCTGTTCTTTTACTGGGTTGGTCCCATATTCTCCTTCTCATCACCTGTGCTCGTTCGTTTCTTGGCCTTTGCAGCGAGACTTTCCAAGTATCGAATGTGGTTCTGCTCCACAGCGACACGACCGACCTCCTGCCAGTTGGCCTCGACGAATTGGCGAACCTTGTCTTCTAGATAGAGTCCATTGTCATCCTTGAGAGCCGTTGTGGGCTGGACACCAAAAGCTTCGTTGTCCTCCATGACGATCTTCTTCATGGCACTAGCAGCGCAACTGCGAAAGTTTGGTTCGAGATCATTCGGAATGGCAGGCTTGATGACCTCTTTCCAGAGCGTAAGCCTTTGACGCTCCTTGAGAAAGTCGCCGAGTTGCGTTACATAGGTCTCGCGAACGCCAAACTCGTCCGAGGCCTCTTCTGTCACCTCTTGTCTGGTCGTAGGTCGTGTCATGAATCGGCCCTCTGCGCGGCACTTGGGCAGGAATTCTTCGATCCACTGGCGGAAGAGGGGGCGTTGGTTCATTCGCTTGCGATCATTGGACTTGAGCTTGTCCTTGCGGTAGTCGCCGCTTATATCTAGGGCTCCTTCGCCCTCATCATCATCATTATCATCATGGTCAGCGTCGGCAAGCTTAGGCTTCACCCAGAAGAAGCGACAAGTAGCAGCGTACTCAAACACCAGCTCCTTGCTGGAGAACGCCTGCTCCCACTGTCCCTTGTCCAAGCGCAGGCCGAGGAAGCGCAGGGTCTCAGACGGGTCGGTGGTCAGGAGGACCTTGGCCTTCTTCTTGTCCAGCTTCTCAACCTCTGGGATGCGGAGGTACAGGCCGACTTCGTCCACGGTGAGGCCGAAAGGTCGAATGGTACTTCCTAGGAGGTTCCACAGATCTCCGTGTGCATGCTTGAAGAGGAACCCTGGGGATTTCATGATGAGCAGATAAATCTTGGGCATGAACGTGTTCGCGGGATAGGTGTACCTACACTCCAAGTTTTGAATAGTTGGGCAGATGTGTATATCGACCTGGATGAAGCGCAGCTTGTCGCTTGTGGTATCGACTGTATCCTTGACGCCTTCGGGAAGGTGATTGGGCCACGGAATGGCAAACACTATTACGATAGAGTCAGTATGCTCATGTACAAAGTTGGCAAGAATTTTGTCCCCCAGCAATAAAGAAGAGAATGCTTTCATAAGCGAGGCATGACTTACTAGCAACATTGTCCCTCTCCTGAAATTTGCGCTCCGCGCCAAAGAGGGCCGCAATAGTGCCAAAGGGGAGCTTCTCGGCGGCTCCCGGAAGATTCGAAGCGGCAGATGCACCAAAGTAGTCTTCCTTCTTGACGGCAACAAAGATGTCAATGTCGCCAAAATCGCTCTTGCCCGGGCCTTCGATGGGAGTGGCTACCATTACGAATAGCTCACGAAGGAGCGCGTGGCAGTGGTCTCGAACATGCTCGTAGATGTCTCGAGGCATGCGCGGAGTGTAGAGGCCATCGGGTCCTTTGGTGAATGCTTGGCCCCCCATTGTGGATCGCAGGTATTGTGACCTCGAAGGAGGAGGAAGAAAGGGGCCAGACAATATCGAAAAGGTGAGAAGAGCAGAATCAATTCTGAAATCTGAATGGAGTCTCGCTCACTTGAAGATGTTTGGGCGAGTACCCTTCTTGCGCGGAGGGTCGTGGAGGCCGAGAAGGGCGTTATGATTATTGCTATCATCAATCGGATAGTAAGGAGATTTGGCCAGAGGATTGTTCGACATATAAAATGCCTCGGAAGCCGAAGCTCAAACGAATGGATACACCTTGCGCCTAAGCTCTTGTCGACGGAATGGGCTCCCTCCAGTTGTGGCAAGTTGTCGTTTGGAAAGAGAAAATGTGGGAATCCAGATCGAGGTAGGGTTTGGTTCTCGATAAATTTCAGTAACTTGTGGGCAGGCGGGAATCACGCTGTTCAGTTGAGATATCCTCTTCGTCTATGCCGTGACGATGATGTAGACGTCGCAGGTACAACCGGGATATTTGCATCAAGGGACGACAACCCCATCCTCAACGTTTAGACTTGAAGGCACGATACCTCTTCTCAGAACAAAGCCCACACCATACGCTGAATGCCTCACAGAATGTCCACCGAGCAAAGAGTGACTCAAACAGCAAGTCGGAGCCTCTTGTTCGGAGTGGCTGAAAGATTGGACATACGAATGTCAGCAGGTATCAGCTTGTGACTTGAAACACTATGCAGGCATTGATGAGAATAGGTCCAAAAGTCTGAATGAGTCACTGGCCGAGACTAAATTGTTCGACATTGACCTTGACTCGAGCAGGCCAGGATATGGTGACTATACGAAGAAAGGCAACGAATACCTCTAATCCAAGCTCTTCTGGGCCTGTGGTAGGTACAAAAGGATATTGTTACTCGGTTAGCAGAGAGCCTGGGATTCAGACACTATACAGGTAGTATGCACGGTGATAGGTGTTGAGTTGTAAAGAATGGCCCGCCGCAAAAGGCAGTTTGGAACCAGATCAGAATCCACCCAATTGGCAGTAGTAATCTAAACCTACCTAACCTAGCTTCATTGGAAAAGCGGATACCCCGCACGTCTGCAGACTGCATAGTCACTTGATCTCATCCTTTGTGTGTTCTGCTTCTTTGGATCATGTTTAAAAAAAAAACAATATTACCCAGTAGAAGAGTTATCCTAATCAAGAGATCCAGCGCCAGGAGATATGTACAAATAACCATAAAAAGATGTTTCGGAATCATCAGGCTTCCGATGTAGCACCAACGAGAATCTCACTCTTCTACAATCACCTATAACTCGTCCTTTGCCATCCTGTCATGTCTTTTTTCTTTGAATAGTTCTCCAGGCTTTTGAATCCTCCTGAGTCGGAAAACTCTAGCAGCATGACTCTTGACCTCGGCCTTTAGGGTTCCGCCCGCCTCAATTACACCAATCTTCTCGCCAAACAGCCTTGGGTCGCCATTTCGTAGACCTTCTGCGTATGGCGTTTCTGTGGAATTGTACCAATTCGCATTTTTATAGATGGCGGCCCTTTCGTCATCAGATATGGCATCTACTATGGCAGCTGCCGTCTTGTGAGGCATGCGGTGAGCCCAGAGATCATGGACCGACCAGTCACTCTTGACGTGCGGAGCTGAGCCGCCAGGACCAAAAGATACAAATATCTCGGCCAATGTAGCCTTCATTTCCATGTCGGCCGCTCCGGCATTGAGAAGTATGACAACCTCGTCACCATTTTGCAAGTAGCCACTCCAGACGTGCGTCTCTCCGATCCCCCATTCATCCTTGGCGACACCGTCAACCTCACGTCTCACCCTAGTAATGGAGCGTCCGTGAGGGTCTTGGTTCAGGGCCAGGATGGCAGGGTTGTTGATGATGGAGAATGCAGATGCCGTCATGTCCCTAAGGTCGTTTCCCAGAAACAGAGGGGACTTCATGGCGGCCCACAGAGCAAAATGCGCCTTGTACTCCTCGTCTGTCATGCCGCCCTGGCCGACCTCGAGCATGTCTAGATCGCTCCATCCCCCGGGAATACTGCGGTCGGCAAATGCGGCGACCTTGTTGAGGATGAACAGAACGGAACAGTGTGTGCCCGGTGCGATGCAAAATGGATCAGATATGCTCGTGTCACAACCGCACAGATCGTCGGGTCTGGTGAAGGAGTCGTAAATATCCCCCGTGACCCTCCAGGAATTGGCTATGGACATTCCCCACTGGATGGCCACGTACAATGTCAGCGAGTCCCGGGTGTGTACCTGCCTAGGTACATACTCAGGGCATACGAGGTATGCTGCCGAGTTACCATGGAGGAGGCTACTCACAGTGTGTACATAGTCTTCCCCCCAATTGCAGAGATTCAAAAGAATGGGACGACCAGTGTCAACCAGGGCATCGGACATGGCTTTGAATCTGTTAAAGGAGATCTGGGGTGTACCAATTCGACCCATGTGGTAACAACTGTCGTACTTGAGAAGGTCAATGCCCCATGATGCAAAGCTCTGCGCGTCCTCTGCTTCATGGTCGAGCGATCCCTCTTGTAGAGTTAGTCAACTGACCTAGGTGTTCACCTGGGCGACATAAAGGACAGAGCTCCTCGTTACATACCGAAACGGGCACATGTCATCTCGCCAGCGCTCGAATACATTCCGTATTTTAGACCCAGGCTGTGCAAGTAGTCGGATAGAAAGTTGAGGCCCCGCGGAAACTTGCTGGGTTCCGGCTGGAGTCGGCCATTCTGATCGCGGCCATTAACATCTTGCCAACAGTCGTCCAGTACGACATATTGATATCCAAGATCCCTCAATCCCAGGCCGACAACCCGCTCGGCCGTGGTCAGGAGCAGGTCTTCCGACACATGGCAGCCAAAAGCATTCCAGTTGTTCTTCCCAGATCCCATGGGTTAGCATCACTCGTGACAGTCAGGTAGGGGGGTGCGGGGAGCGAGAAAAAAGGAAAAGAGAAAGAGTGGCGCACCCATCCCATTGGAGGCGTCAAGGCCAAGCCATTATTGATTGCAGCAGCTCCAAGGACTAGCATGGCAGCAACGAACAGAACGACCCTTAGGAAACCCATATTCGGATGCAGCATTGCGTCCTAGAGTCGTGGTTGTGCTGGAACAGATGCCAAAGCACAGGGCATAGGGTTGGTTGTCACGAAGACGAAGGAGACCAGTGCCTTGCGTAGGTCCTATCAGGATACATAGCCCGGATATAAGATAAGATGCGACCCCCCTCCCCCGACAAGGTGCCATTGCTACCGTTCACGAGTGGACGGTTTGATCTGCCGTGACCGCGCTGGCGGGTGGGAGCCGGCGCCAAGGAAAGTCTGCTGTGGACGGCTCGGGAGACGGCGGCGGTGTAAGGCTCGTATAATAGGTGGGACGCTATAAGTGAGGGAGGAAAACTAGCCTAGAGTTTTCCGCCCCAAGCTATAGAATAGGCAATAAATATAGTTTGTACATATATATAAGCAGGGCCGGGTTTGGTTTCTTTCCTGCACGGCATTTATCGTCAATACTGGTGCAACCCTGTTCTCTACCACAAAACACCATTTCCACATCGCCCGAATGCCGAAACGCTTGACATGGATATGCGACCATCACTGCTCAGGGTCGTCACTCTGCTAGACTCATATAATATCAATCATCTTCCACCTTGGTATCTCACCAATCCGCGGCGCCTTCAATTTCTTCCAGAAACCACTGCTATCCTTTCTTTCTCCTTCTTCTTCTTCTCCCGGTCTTTCATGTGCTCGCTGCCGCGACGCCAGAGCTAATGTGTCCGTTTCGTGTGTCAAGGCATCTTTCCTCTGATCTCATACATCATGGAGCCATTGCAGAAGTCGCGGCTCGGTGCTGCTGTTCTTTCGACAGAGACCACAATGCCTCATAATCGGGATCCGTGTCCCGTGGCTCCGATTCCATGTATGGAGCAAACTCGACAAGGAACCGTACAAGCCATTTATCCAGCACAAAACTGGCCTTGCTTCGTCTCAGGCACGTCTGATGAAATGCTCGTAAACGGCTCATGGCACTGTCGACGCTCGACCAGTATGGCCTAAGTTGCAGCAGTATCTCAAAGTTACGCTCCAGTCGTGTCCTTGACAGCCGGATCTGCATTTCGTCGCCAGAAAACAACAGAGTGTGGATCTGCACTGTCGAGGCAATGACAATCACATGGGCAACGGCCGCGTACAAAACCTCACTACCGGGTGCATCAAACGTTTGATACACCATTTCGCACAGCTTGGCAGCATGATCTTTGCATCTATCAGCATAGATGTGTGATGAGCTCATCGACCTGTTTGAGTCGGCCCCCAGAAACTGGTAATAGAGCAACTGCCCATAATGGTAATAACCTGGCATCAAGCATTAGTTTGCCTGCCAGCCAGCAAAGGCCCAGGATCAAGTTTGACACCTTGGGATAAGGATTGAACTCACCCAGATAAACAGCAGCGTAAACACGCCCCAGGCCGCGAGACGCAAACCAAGCAAAGTTCTCTGGCGTATCCCGCATATTATAGGGCAGGCCAACAAGCCATCGCTCCAACTCGAGCGATAGGCACTGTATGCCAACTTCTAGGGCAGAGCCCTCGAGCCGTTCTTCAACACACCTCCGGTTGAAATCATTCACCTGGGCGAGGACCCTGTTGAGCTTGATCATCTGCGACAGGAGCGGAGAACCAAACGTGGGCGGACTATTGGCCATCTCAATAGCAAAGCTACCGGGGAGTGCCAAGAACGGAAGCTCGTCCATGGGTAGAGGCACAGAATGCAAATTGGGCATGATCTTTGGCAACTTTACCGCCGTGGAGGACCACACGTCCACCATGCAGATGGTCCACCAGGCTAGGCGTGAAAATGTCAGCAAGGTTCACATTTGTTTCTTGCCTGGGCGAGGTAGGATCCATCACTACTGACTTCGTATATTAATTTCTCTTTCGAGGCTATTAGACGCAGGTTTATTTGGAAAGTCCAGAGTCAGAGCCATACGGCCGGCCAGGGTATAGTAGAGATTCTCTACGTCGGTGTCGCCGTGGCCGGCCGCGTAGCCGCCGAGCAAGATGCACACCTGACATGTCTGCGTCGAAATATCACGGACCTTGAGCAGACTTTCGCTAGCCAAGCGAAAAGCTTCTCCACGATTTCGGGGTTCGATATTTGCCAAAAGCGGGTTCGACGAAAACCTTTGTCGCAACAATCAATATCTTGGCTCATGATGCCCGACGAGCCTGGAGGAACTTGAGCAAGACGAGGGGAATTCTTACCTCGCTGAGAGGGCAAATATCGCAAGCAGCACGACAGGCGCCACTCGATCATTGGCTACATCGTCCATGAAACTCGGTCTGTGAAAGAGAGAGTGGAACTGGTCATGGATATAGTCAAAGTAGAGGGTTGCCAGCTCCAATCGCAATGGCATCGGAGGGAGCTCGACTTGGGGTCCGGTGAAGAGCAAGCTCGTGTTTTGATTTGGCGACAATGGCAACTCTACGACACCACCACCAGCGCCTCCTCCCCCTCCTCCCCCTCCACCGCCGCCGCCGCCTCCACCAAGGCCAGGCTCCTGTAGTCTTGTCTGGCGCTTGTGATAATAACCTCCTTCTGGAGGCTCTTGAACACAGCGCAGGCGGCGCGAGGTACAATACTCGCAGGCCGTGGCTGTAGTGTTGGCTGGCCAAGTACATCTCCGCCGGCGTGCTCTGTATCGATGAGTTATTGACTATACTACTCAGGAATATCTTGCTTTCTTTCCCTGGGCCAAATGAGGCGGAAAGCGGGAGGACAACTTACCGACAGGCACTGCAAGCTGAAGGTTTACGCATTGGGTATTACTGTGAGTGCTGGTTACACTCACTCCAAGGCCCACCCAAGTGCCAGGTCTTCGGTACGGGACCGGAACCACACCAGAGGGTAGACCGGAGCAAGCACGCAGTATAGTACGAATGGTACGTAGGCAGTGTGTTCCTTTTTTTTTTTTTTTTTTTTCTGCGGGAGGGTGGGTAGATTAGAGTCCGATCTGGGTAAACCTAGTAGTAGTAGGTATGTATGCAAGTATAGTATACCTACCTATCTGCCCTATGGCAAGTCTAACCAAGAGATTCGGTCACGTTCTCGAATCCTGAATCCGGGGAAGCGAGACTGGAGTGCGGAGAGATGGCGGCAAGGTAGGAAAGGACAGGGCAGGACGGGGCGCTCGTTGCTGATCTGTGCTCCATCCGAACCTGAACCATGGAGCCACGAAGACAAGAGACGAAGAAAATCGATCGGGAAATTCAGAGTACGTTGCCATGGCTGCGCGCGTCGATAGGGCGGAAAACTGACGACATATAAAACATAGCAGAGGTCCAAGGTTGCTCGAGAAGCGCGGCATCCAGGCAACGTGCCGCGAGAACCCACACGAATCGAACAGTGTGCCTGTCTCGTCGGTCCCCTGGGAGTTGGGAGTCCCCCCTAGGCTGAACGAAGCAACTGCCCCGCTGCAGGTCCCTGACGGCTCAAAGTCAAAAAGGGCATCCTTTAGGAACAGGCGATGCCGAGAAGGGAGAGGCCATGCCGACAAGAGACTCTTAGCGGCGGGAAATGAGGCGGAAAACGCCCCAAGACCGGAGTCGACGATCCACGATGCCGCGAGACCTTTGGGCCCTTTCCACTCTTTTCCCCGCAATCCAGCATTTTCTTGGCTTGCTTTGGGATCCTCTTTTCTCTTTCGTCCGATCTGAAGGGGGAAAATGGAAATCAAAGTTTTGGGCACATGCTTATTATTTTTCCAAGACACAGAGACCCGACTACACCTCTGCTATTTCACAATAGGTATGGGGCCGAGCGACAGCTGAAAAAAATAATTGCAACGGTTTTTTTTTAGTCTTTCTCCTCACCCCTTCAGCCTCGTCGTCATGAGACGCGGACATCCCATACCTACCTTACCTACCTGAGGGACTGACTTACTCGTACCTAGGCACGTTCGCTCGGGATGTCCTTAGCGGGCCCCCCGCCGCGCCCGGAGTCGATTGCTGCTTTTGCGGCTCATTCCGTGAAAACTTGTCGATTCATTTCAGCTGTTCGTGGAAAGATCACAGTCTAGCAGACTGACCGCCGAGGCTTACGGCATCGGTTGGAGAAAAAAACATGATTGTATTCGTGTCGACGTCGTATGCTCACGCGTACAAGTAGGCACCATGACACGAGTATCGCCGACTGTAATATAAGCTGCATCCGTGCTCTTTCATATATACACTGCGTACAATTGAGGTTTTGTTTAGACAGTCAGAGGATCACGACGACGACACTAGTAGAGGCCTCCACGGCCAGGCTGATTTTTTATTTTATTTTTCATATTAAACCCCTTCCTATCCCTCTTTGTTCGGCTCATCAGGCCGCGAACAGCTGGCTAGCTAGCTCTTGACCGCTACGCTACGCCACGATCCACGAATTCCGGCCGCCTCAATGGCTGGAGAAAATGTAAAGACCTGCCGTCAGACGACTGCCAGCGTCACCTCGACCGCGGGTGGGAAAGATGTCGCCATAGAGGAGACAATGGTGACGGCGCTGTATGATGAACGGAATATGAGCTTGGTTGAGGACTTCCTGTTTTGGAAAAAAGCCATTGCTTTCTCCTTCTTCATCTCGCTCGCTGTCATCATGGAGGGCTATGATACTTCGTTGATGAATAACTTCTTTCCCTTTCCGGCATTCAAGAACAAGTTCGGCGACGAGGTCGACCCCGACGGTGGCAGACTGGTCTCTGCTCGTTGGCAGACCATCATACTGAACGGCACCCAAGTCGGCTGCATCATTGGGCTGGCCATCAATGGTTATCTCTCTGAATGGCTCGGATACAAGAAGACCATGGTCGCCACAATGATGGCCATGGTGGCCGCAATCTTCATTCCCTTTTTTTCCACGAGCCTGGACATGTACCTCATTGGAGGTATCATCCAGGGCCTCCCGTGGGGCGTTTTCCAGACCTTGGCAGTTTCCTACGCTGCGTTAGTAGATACCCTAAATGTTTTGTGTGCATAAAGTGAGGACCGTGGACGAGCTGACTGGAAATATTCTTCACCACAGCGATCTGTGTCCGACTCATCTTCGAGGTAAATTCTCATATGCACCATTGTCGCTTTCCGTGGGGAGGCTTTCCAGTCAAAACTAACATATACACACTGCAGCATACATGACTTCGTGGGTCAACATCTGCTGGGTAGTTGGCGGACTATTGTCCACTGGCATTCTTCGTGGGCTGCTCAACATTGATAGTGAGTGGGGATACCGGATCCCGTTTGCACTGCAATGGCTGTGGCCTATTCCAGTCACCATTGCCACTCTCATGTGCCCAGAATCGCCGTGAGTCTTGATAGACCCAGTTGTTGGGTGAAAAAAAGAAAAAGAAAAATCGATTGCAAAATACTAAGTAAACTCGTTTCAGATGGTGGCTCGTCCGCAAAGGCCGGATCGACGAGGCCAAAGCTGCGATTCGCATGCTTACTAGTCCCAGACCCGGCAGCATGGACTTTGACGTTGACTCGCACGTTGAGATGATGATTGTTACAGACAAGTTTGAGAGACAGGCACAGGCCGGTACAAACTACTGGCACTGTTTTCAAAAGAGCGACTTGCGACGGACCGAGATTGCCGCCATGGTCTGCATCACCCAAGCCTTCTGCGGTGTCCCATTTATGGGATACGGCGTTCAGTTCATGGTGAGGGCTGGGCTCGATACCAACAGCGCGTTCAACCTCAATGTCGTCCAGAGCTGCGTCGGCTTGATTGGCTGCATCCTAGCTTGGTGGCTCATGACGTACTTTGGACGTCGCTTTCTATACCTGTCGGGCTTGTCCTCGATGTTTGTCATCCTCATGGCTATTGGATTCCTGGGCCTCGCCCCTGACAGCAACGCTGGGACTAGCTGGGCAGTCGGCGCCCTCATTATTTTTATGCTCTTTTTATTTCAGCTTTCTTTGGGTCCTATTTGCTGTAAGTACCAAAAACCCCTGATTTGGTTTTTTTTTTTTTTTTTTTTTTTTGGTGGGTGGTTGTTCACACATGTTCTCTGGAAGAATACACTGAAAAGTGATCTCCTCTCCCATATATTTTCTCTGGCCTTGACTACCACCAACCTTGACCTATGGCTCGGCTCCATACATGATTCAGGGAGGAAGAAAGATTAGAAGCTAACACACGCCAACTCACTAGATGCCGTCTTTGCTGAGATAGCCAGCACCCGTCTGCGGATCAAGACCGTGGTGATTGCCCGGGCAAGCTACAACAGCGCCGTGTTTGTCAACAACGCCATCATGCCCAGGATTGTGGGCAGAAACGACTGGGACTGGGGCGCCAAGGGTGGTTTCTTCTGGGCGGGTATTGACCTGCTGTTCCTGTTTTGGACATGGTTTCGACTGCCCGAGTCCCGAGGTTTGACATACGCCGAGCTGGACCTTTTGTTTGAGCACGAGGTTCCTGCTCGGCATTTCTCCCAGGAGAGAGCCGATATGCTCAAGCCAGCATTGGATGAGATTGCTGCCAAGGAGAAAAGACATTCGAGGATCCAAACGGTAGAAATTACAATTTAAAAGTAGCGAAATGTTCCCGCCGGGAAGGAAAAAAAAAAGAATGAAAGAAAAACCCTGGACAAATTCTTTTTCTTTCTTGTCCGTGATGCAACTTGTAAGCACTTTAAAAACCCGTTGTGACTTGATTAACAATGTAATAAAAGAGTGTATATTTTATACTGCAAGGTCATATGACCCATATGCCGACTTATTACCTCTACCTAGGTACAGTATTTACAATTGCTACGCCTATAATCAATCGGCTGCCCCTCAATTGAGCCAATGAAGATGGCGCTAGTCTCGATTACCAACCCAACCGATCCCCCTAATTGGTAAAGGTACGTACCGTCTGCTACGTTGCACTGCGACGGTGAGCTCGAGGGTCGCTACTCTCTGTCTGTCCCTCTCCCTCCTCTCCTTATCGCCATCAGTTCTCAAACTAGCAGATATCGGAGTCTTGGGTGTGAGCATAAGAAGCATCTGTTCATCCTTGTTGGCCCGCTGCGATCCTTCTATACCCATTTGTCAGTCTCGACTAGCTTGCCTGTGTCACAATGGCGCCGCACAACATTGTCGACGAAGGACCGACGGACCTTTCCCAGCAGGCTGACGGCATCTCGGCGCTTCCTCCGCCACCGCCGCCCATGTCTGCAAGGCCGCCGAGGATTCTAATCATCGGGGCCGGGTCGCGGGGACGTACGTATGCCAGGGCGGCGATATCATCAAGCAATGGAGTGGTGGTTGCCGTTGCAGAGCCCAATGAGTATAAGAGGCAGCAGTTTGGCCAGAACTTCATCCATGGCACCGACAAAGCACCCCAGGGCTCGCTATTTGCCGACTGGAGAGACTTTGTCTCCTGGGAGACGGAGCGCAGGGCGCGCGAGAGCTCTGGCGAAACTGTGCCCGAGGGCGTCGACGCCGCCTTTGTTTGTGTACTCGACGAGATGCACCACGACGTCGTGGTGGGCTTGGCACCCCTGGGCCTACACATCATGTGCGAGAAGCCTTTAGCAACGACATTGGATGATTGCGTCGGCATGTATCGGGCGCTCGCACCGCAGCAGAAGGACAAGGTCTTCTCCATTGGGCATGTATTGCGATACAGCCCACACAACATCATGCTGCGGAAACTGCTCCTAGAGGACAAGGCCATAGGTGACATCCTGAGCGTAGTACATACAGAACCGGTTGGCTGGTGGCATTTCTCGCACAGCTACGTTCGAGGCAACTGGAGAAAGGAATCAACCACGGCACCATCCCTCCTGACCAAGAGCTGCCATGATATCGATATCATCTTGTGGCTCCTGTGCTCACCCGCTCCGGGCTCGGATGCGCCTCCGCACCTGCCTTCGACAGTCTCGTCTTCTGGCTCGCTGCAGTTCTTCAAGAAGAGCAGGAAGCCGAAAGCAGCAGCAAGCGCCACCAACTGCCTTAGCTGTCCTATTGAAAAGGACTGCATGTACTCTAGCAAGAGGATTTATGTCGGTCCCAAGCATCAAGGTCTCGAGACTGGTAATACGCACTGGCCGGTCAGCATCGTGTTGCCAGACATCGAGAGCTTTGATGAAAGCGAGAGACATCAGGTATTGATGTCAAAGCTAGCAGAAGACTACACGGATTCAACACCACAGTCAGAGATTGACAAGCAGAACTGGTTTGGGAGATGTGTATTTGAGTCGGATAACGATGTCTGCGACGAACAAGTTGTCACCATGACTTGGGACGACGAACCACTAGGTTCGAGCGCCACCGATGCCGGGTCGAATCCCCCTGGCGGTCGGGGATCCAAGCAGGCAACCTTTCACATGATAGCACAGACAAAGAAGCAGTGCGACCGCTATTCGTACATTTACGGAACAGAAGGCGAAATATATGCCGACTCCAAGACTATCACGATTGAGGATTTCCGGACGGGAGAGACAAGAACCTTCAAGCCACGACTGGAAAGTTTGGGCCACGGGGGTGGCGACGTGGGCCTGACCAGACAATTCATCCTCGCCGTCGATCACGTAAAGAACCACGGTTGGACAGCAGAGGATGCACAAGCAAAATTCATTGGATGCACCCTCGAGGAAGTCATACGCAGCCACGCGCTAGTCTTTGCGGCTGAGGAGGCCCGGACTGGTAAGAAGGTTTTGGAGTGGAAGGAATGGTGGCATCGTAAAGTTGGCCACATTTCTACGGCTTGAGGTCTACTAACCTAAACCACTCATCTACTCCGTTACTGTCATATTTTCCCCCCTTCTTGTCCGCTGCCAACATGCTTGAGGAAATGTGATCTGTATCAGCTTTTCGGACTCAATACGGCCCTATTTCCGCGAAGCAATATCCCGAGATGCGCAGGATTAACATGCGAGCACCAATACAACTATACTGGTTATTGAGCTAGTCTAGGGACTGAAAATCAGATGGCATGTGACCCGAAAAAAAAAAAAGAAGAGAGAGAGAGAGAGAGAGAGAGAGAGAGAGAGAGAGAGAGTAGAG